AAATATGTTACAAGAAATATTTAATTAAGTATAACAAACTGCAGAGCCTCTGTGCGTCTGGAAAAATGCCTGTCTTCTGTTTGCAACCCTAAAATTTTGTCTTTTTATTGCCAGCATGACAATTATTACATTTAGTCCCTTGAACTCATTATGCAATGTGTCCAGGATGCTGCATAAGAAGCTGGACATCCAGATTTCCCCGCACAGCCACTATGTAGTTCATCAACTCCTCATTACTGAGGACACTGCTGATCCTTCTTTGAACACAATCTTCTGCCCAAATACTCTGCAGAACTCTTTTTACCTCAGAGCAATAGTACTGCCTGTCCAGTACTGAAAAATGGATCAAAATGATATTGTAGTTGAAAGAAATGAGACGGTGAACTGTTCTTGAGCAACTGGACCACTACAGGGGTCAACCCGCAGATAAACCCTGTTTTCAGTGCTTCCTCAAACCACAGTAACACTCTTTGCCTAACACTACTTGTCTGGACGGACCCCTTACCCCAACGGCACCCTGATCCTGTCTGAGTCCCACATATAACTGTGGAGACGTAGTTGGTCCCAGCATGCTATCATTTCTGGCTCACAGTATCTATTCAAAAATTATATAATTTTTTATTCATTCATTAAGTATTCTGATCCTGAGGCAGAGAACAAACAAAGTTCTAGCGCTTTGTCAAACTACTTCAGCCTGATCAATGTGATGGTAAGTGGATAGTTTTTTTTCTTTATTTACATCTTTCCTTACAAACATTTCCCTTACAAGCAAAACAAAAAATCCCCATAGTATAGAAATCTATACATGCTACACTGGGGGGTATAGCAAGCTATGCAAACAATGCATGGGATTGTGAGACAGGCCATTTTTCTAAAATTCCTCAAGAAATGGCACGAAAAAACTGACATAGAAGCCCATTATCATTAAATAGACAAATATTAAAATTCCGATGAAAGAAGTGTTGAGGGCGTATGAAAAACAGGCATGTTATTGCATGATGACATCAAGATACATCCCGTAATGTAGATCTCTGCATATTTCCATTGAGTGGAGAAATATATAGAACCGTGTACCTGCTGTTTCCATTCAGCATAAGATCAGGGGGAAAAAACACAACTTTTATCTAGTCCAGCTCAAGTGTCCTTTCAGGAAAATGCAGGTTGATTAACTTTAACTATTTTATATATCATGTCATGTTGCTTTTATAAATGTAAGAAAAGCTTTGATAAAAATAACATTTTGCACTTTGAAATGCCTCAGAATGTATGCATGGGTCCCTCTGAAGATAGGCTGTGAAAACAGGTAACGGAACACTCAAGGTGGGCAACATATTGCATTAACTTTGGATTAATATTGCCTTATTAGTTGGCTAAATCAGTTGTAAAATTACATCAGCATCCATATGCAAAGTACATTCTGCGTAAAAATCACTATCAGTTAATTAAAAGTTTGTTGCATATAATTTTGCTCCAAGTGTACATCAAATAAATTACACAGAAAAAAGCTTTCTGTCATGAAGAATTTACCCCTTATCAGTGCTACGATTCCATATTATTATTCTTGACTCATTTTTCAATTACTGTTTGAATTTTGTTACATCTCCATAACAAAACTGTCATGTAAAATGATGCACAGTCACATGAGACTAAAGAATATTCCATTTTTAAATACAGCCTTTCCCAACAGTAAAAAGGAAACATAAAAATCTTTGCACTTCTGCACTTCTAAATACTTTGATGAAGAGAGCATTTCTGAACTTTTACCCTGACAACGCTCTTTCTTTTGCCGGTCTTTGCCAAGTACTGGTTTCTATTCAAGACTTAAGTGTCTGTGTGAAAGGGCCCTGCAGTTGTTCTGCCATGTTGTGCATGGCTCCATTTTCTGTAAAAGATTATGAAAAAAAACTCTTAATGAACGATAATTAAAAGGTCAGGAGACACTGTCCTGACACTGAATCAGCCATTTGCACACTGAATGTTATTTGGTATAGCCTGACACTATTGAGATGCCAGTAATAGGAAATGGGATTATCTGGGTGAGTGTATGTTGAATTCAAGGAGGCTTTGCATCAGCAGATTTTTACATGAAAATATTCTTTCTGCACAATCAGAGAAAATCGCTGCCCTAAGGCCTGTATGCAGCTCTTGCTGTGCAAAATGTTCCAAAACTCTTTCGTTCTGAATGTAATTTTCCTTAATGTGGGGATCAGCAATACTCCCTATCATCATAATCCTGCTCAATGGCACCACACTCTTTTGGGGCTTTTGAACACATTCAGAAACAGCTTGAGGCTAAATGTTGTAAGTACCCAATAATGTTAGGTCAAATTATTTTTTTATACTGTTCAAGGAAGAAAGACGCAGTATTTAATTTTAATATGCCGTTGCAGAAAAAACATAAGTATTTTCCTGCTGTTATTTACTGCAGGTGTCAAGCAAAACAGAGCGCCAAAGGCATCCAATTGGTGTCTTCTTTCTAATATCTGAACATTTTAAAAGTCAGTAAAACCACAGAAGCCCTGCGTTGGCCTGACTACTGAGAAGTCTTTCTTCATTGCCATTATGAGTGACTTTCTTCACCCACAAGCCCTTTCATTTACAACAGCACTCCACCATTTCATTGTGAACTGTGTGAAATGAGCTTGTGAGAGCAAGCAAGGTAGTTGCAGCTGCTTGTGGCTTTGTGTGAGGGCGAGTCAATTACACACACTAGAAAACTATGAGCTTAAAGGGCGTTAAATCCACAGCTGCAGAGTGGAGTGGACAGTGACATCAGGAGCACCAGAAACTAGCCACACATAAAAGAAACGTTTTTTTCTTTGACAAAAGCTCCTGCGTTCATTCTCTTTACCTGGGCATGTGTGTGTACCTGTGGGGGTTTATACGGCAGGGAGCTATTTCCAACACAGACACCATATGGCCATTAATTATGCTTTGGCACTGAAGATTTTCACCAGTCCAGATCAGAATGCTCCAATACTGGCCTTTCTGTAGGTTTAAGCAGCCTCTGCTGTTCAAAGCCCTGACAATAACCTCTATGACATCACCACTGTGACGTGTCCCACATTGCAAAGAGTTCAGAGCTGGTTTGTCAGATTTAGATCACAGCTACTAAGGAACGGTAGAGCCCGAGGGTCAGGTTTGGTTGTTTTATCCTTACCCACCCACCTTGATATTAAATATCCCCAGGGCTTTGTTCAGAGGATGTCTGGAGTTTTCTTTGCGGGACTTCTGTCAAAGTGAACCACTTGAAGGTGAGGTGATGCCTCTGCCATGCAGACCATCTGGTGGATTTATTATAACCTGGCAGAGCATCCTAATGAGAGTCTACAATTTGACAGACAAATCATTTTGATTTTTGGCTACATATAAACACAGGTGCAGACGCACGTAGCTACTTATACATACACGTGGAGGGGACTGTGAATAATTGGGATAAAAATTAAAACAACTGTACACACCAATTTGCCCATTGAAAACTGAAAAAATGTGAGAAATCATTCAAGTAGAGCACCAGCTGAAGTCACAGCCCGGTAGTGACACCCGGTGGTGGCAGACCTACATAAACTGCCCCTTTAGGTTGCAACATTAAATTCCTTTTTTTTGTTCAATATGATGAAGAACATGCTTGAATTGAGACTAAAAAAGAAATAGTGAATGAAAAAGACCAGTTGCTGAACCTTAAACTAAAACATGGATTAAAGTTATCATATGAAAACTCTTTAACTGGTTCTTTGAATTCACGTGGCTTTTGTATTTTTAAACCATATTCAACCTTACAAGCACAATCAGCACATTTGATTCCCTTTCCTCCTTTAAGAAATACTTGAAGACCCAGCTCTTCTATGAGTATCTCTTGTCCTGAAAGCTGTAAACACATTTATTTCCCAATAGCATATAGCACTCAATGTATGGTACTCGTGTAATGTCTGTCACAGTTAATGTTAAATCCTCTTCCAACAAATTGCACTCAAGGTAAGGTAGGTGTGTACCTGGTGCTGTAGTTGAGTGTTAAACCCTATTTTTTTAAGTCACTTTGGATAAAAGCGTCTGCTAAATGCATACATTTAAATGTCAAAGAACTTAAACTGCTCTTCTTCGACTGCAGTTTGGAGGGATTTCATATTTCATTATAACAAACAGTTGTCTCGGTGTTAACTTACTCAAGTATCTATTTTGGAAAAATAAATACCAAGCTGGTGTTCAGTACAGTTCAAGCCAGTTTTATGATCAGTCATTGTAACTGACCCTTGAACCATTTTATTGGCCCTCGTTAAAATTGATAATATCTAAAAAAAAAAATTCTGCCACTGACGAATCCCTCCAAACACACACACACACACACACACACACACCTTGTATATGTAATTAAGGTGTGTACACACCTAAGATTGTTGAACTAACTCATCCTTATAGTTACCTTTTTCTATGCACACACTTCCTTGAATGCTTATCTTTCATAAACCTCGATAATCAGAACATGCAGCATTGCAAAAGCGCTTCACCTGACTGACTAAATGGGTGTCACCTTTATAAGCTGGCGATAAGGCTGAAAAACAGATGAACAAAGGACAAGCTGCCTGACATAATTGACAGGGAGTGACGCAGTCAGTTTATACAGTACTCGTTTTCTGTACTGGGCTGGATATTCCCATACTTTCACTCGGCTTCGGACGAGTGAAGTTCATCTTTAAAAGACTGAGCCACAAAAAGAATTTGTTGCTGACCTGAAGGCGAGACTGAAGAACACCGTCTTTGAAGAGAGACTAAAGTGTGATCTGGAGGGCTGTGAAGACAAAGATCCTATCAAAAGGAGAATTATCCAGGTGCCAAAATATTACTTCACTTCTTCCTTATGTAAAACAGTTTGTGAGCCATCAATTTGGTATAATTCAAAGAAAAATTATTGTTTGTCAAGCATGAATTTTGTACTGTTAGAACTCTAACAGAAACAATTGGTATTTTCAGGTTCCTGTTGAAGCAGTAGAGTAAACAACACCATGGAGGATATCAGATACAGAGGGAAAAAAAGAGAGGGAAGACACATGTAAGCATTACTTTCCAATAATTATGGCCTCTTTATGACAAAGTCTTCCTATTTTTCTGGTTATCTGAAGTATCTGAGGGCAATGTTACATGGGATTAAATCAACTTGATAAATAACATTTATGTTTTTGGTAGCCCAGTGAGCCCAGTGTACTTCCAGTAAACTTAATTGATCTTCTTTATAAAATATGATACACACAATGGAGAGGGAGAGACTGCCTTGCCAACGCTATCTTATTGAGGAGCCAAAATCAGTGCTACTTTATTGGTTCTTTGTGCCTTGTGTTGTAAAAGCATGTTAAGGAAGTACTCGTGAAAGAGGTTTAGCAGTAGTTTGCTTTTAATCTGGGATTATTTGTCCATGGAAATATCAAGAGTGAATCACATTGTTGCTGAATTATGCCAAAGAAATAAAAATGCCTTGCCTATTCGTATTCAGATTCTCAAAAGAATTATGAATCTTAAATAAATGATTTTCCTCAAACTATCCTTAAAAAGATTTAGTTTCTTTTAGTCGTTTCTTATCTGACAACAATCTAAATTCAGATTCAGAATGCATGAATCCGGTTAAAAGTTGTCTCATGTTGGCCAAACTGAGGCAAATTCAGAAATAAATAACTCTACAGACAAGACTTAAAATTTAGCAGTTATTAACTTCCTATCCGTGGGCACGAGATCTACTGTCTTCATCACAGTTAGGAGGTTAATTGTTACTGGGATAGATATTAGTACCGGATGAAATTAAAAACAGTTTGCTTGTATCACCAGGTTTCAGATTAATATAATTTACAGTTTGAGGAAGCACTTAATTTCCCCTGTGCACTGCTGTGCCTTTCTTTATTGCTCTGGCTGATGTCATCTCCATTGATAGTGCCTGCTGCTAGAGATGATGTTTAACATGTTAAATACATTCTACAGTTTTAATCACCTTCTCTCTCTTTGGATCCAGTCAAGTGAAAGATAAAACATGTTTCATGGTTAAAAACACAGATTTTAAATGTGCAGGCTTTCTCAAAACAATTTTCTTTGATAGATAATTTCTGAATATCAGAAAGTGAGGATTTCATGACTTTCTGCAAAGTGAATGAAATATGCTGTCCACCTGGAGTACCGAGTTATTTTCCTGAGCAAAAGTCAGATGCTGTTGCTCATTGTATTTTTAACAGTTTCTCTTGAAGTATTAAGTGATGTTCCATTGATGCTCATTCCATTACAGGAGATACAATAATCAATATTATTTGGGCTTCAAAACAAATGAGACAAAGCTACAAAACTAGAAAATAGGTCATTACTTGACAGTGGTATTCTGTTGTTTACAGCTAGAGGTACTTTCACACTCAAGAATCATGATCTTGGGAGGGTGCTGTCCATGCTCTCAAAGTTTTAGCCAGTTTCTATGTGTTTTTGACAAGTGGTAGTGTAGATGAGGAGTTTTAGTTTTTGGAATTCACTGAGTTGATCAGAGCTGTTCCAACTCCAAAGAGTATCTTTGATTTCAAGAGACATTGAGAGTGAAAGGAGCAACTTTCCTCCTATTTCGCTCAACCAATCTAATTCTGATTGAAGCTACTGAGAACCAGCCGAGAGCCAGTCAACTTAAAAAATTAGGTCACATCATATAACTGTGTCAGAGTCATGAAATATAAATACTACAATACCAAAAAATACCAAAAATGAATTTGCAGAAGTTTTGAAATGTCTTCCATCGAGTCATAAACTCATGAAGCTTTCAGAGGAAGGAGAAGCACTAAATTGTGTCAAATTCCAACCAATACAGTTTCATTCACACTGAGACCATCTTGGCAAATATAATTTCGAAGCAAAGACACGTTGAGTTTCAAGCCCGTTAACACAATTTTAACCAACCAAGTCCAATTTATAACTGAAATTTAGGTGGAACAGAGGAAAGAGAAAAAAATACCTTTTAAGGGAAGAAACGCCAAAGAAGCTCAAAGAGAGTGACCATCTTCTGGCTTAGGGATGGTGCAAGTTGCGAGGACAGGACACCGGGAAAAATAAGCGCCATGCCCCACTCAGGAGATGCCTGTTGGAGAAAAATATAAAATTAGAGCAAGCTTAAAACTTTGGGACATAGCTTCCAACCAAAATAGAAGCTTTCGGATTTTGAGAATGAAATTGCGACCTGAAACAGTAGAATTCACTACCATCTGTTCAAGTCATGTCTTTAAATGTTTTTTTTTACCCGACTGTTTTTTAATCAGAATTCATAACCATTATTTTAGAAATATAAAAATGTTATTTTGGCAAAATAGGACATGTGGAAGACATTCTAAAATCTGCTCTGTCATTCGATGGTGAGGATGTAATGTGATAGTTATTTCCTATTACACATTACTTAATAAAACAGGGGATTAAAAAAACAGAAAACATAATAAAAAAGAGTGAGTCACATACATTTCACCTTAACACAAACTGCCAGCGTGGCCATGCTGAACCTGAACTTAGCTGCTGTTTGGATAGTTGCTATGGTAAAGTCAAAGATCACTGTGTTATCACATCTACTGTGGAAACCCACGCCCTGAACATTATTCTGCATGGGATTTATTCACCCAGTATAGAAGATAACCAAGTCACTGACAGGTAAATTATCGTTGTCTGAAAGTAAGTTAAGGCTGACTGGAAAAAGAAAGTCAGAACTCGCCTTAGCCAGCTGACGACGTTTTTATATCACATGACTCAGTTCTCGATGGCTCGATGGCACGCTACTTTAAAAAAAAATAACTGATGTGTACTTGCAGTGTCATCAGTGAGAATTCAGCCTGGATTTCCCATTGCATATCATTAACTGTTTCCATTATGCCAAGCTATTCATCCATCTATTTTCCATACCATTTATTCTGAAACCTATCCCAGCTGACGGGATACAGGCGAGAGGCAGGGTGCACCCTGGAAAGGATTCATTCAACTATTCATTTAAACTAAATTTGAAAAAAATCTGTCATAAATGCAAGTATTTCATAAGAATTTAATATAAAACAAGAGGGTAGTGTTCTGTACTCAAAACAGACACCGACTGCTAAATGGTCTCTGGAATTCCAAGACCATTTATAACAGAGTCTCAATCCGTCCATCCATTTTTTTTAATCACAAAGTAAACACACATTATTCTTAGTAGGATGCTACAGCTAGAAATCCAGGATAGAACCTAGGAATCCAGAGAAGGAACCTGTGAACTCACTATCTGATATACACAGTTTTTACACAAGCAAACACTTTGTTCTTTTGATTTTCATTTGGTCATATTTAACCTGCAATATATCAATCTGCTTGTCCCAGAAATACATGGGATCCATTCCAACTGAACCCCATCGGAGCAGAAAAGGAGAAGAAGCAACATTGCTTTATTCTGGCCCAGTACCTGGTGGCTGTCATTGTGGGGATAGCGGTTCTGACCAGCGCTGTCATTGCTAAGGTAAGATAAAAAATTGTCTTGCCAAAAAAAGGAAAAAAAATCAGCTTTGATTAAAACGTACAGAATAGTAGGTGGAGGTAAGTGTCTTTTCATTTTTACCGATTTCAGCTACTGTGATGCAGTTAACCCCAAATTTGTTCATTGCTTTTTGTTGAAGTAATCGTTAGAATAAATGAAGTCGTTCTGGTTTCATAACTTGCAATATACTTGTAATGAAGCCTTTATACTGACCCAGTTTACATCAATTAGTTGCTTTAAACTTTTTATCTCTTTAAAATATTATTGTTTTTCTTTCTGTAAGTCTGTATAATGTTTTATTCCCAGAATGCATCTGTTTATGCTTCTTTGTCCTTAAGGTTTGTGATTCTCCTTTTTATCATTCATTCTTAATGATGAACCCCAATGCAAAGTGGGGACTGACAGCCTCAATCTGGAATTATAATCCAAAGGAAGAAAGAAACCTAGCAGTGTTTAGTCTGAAGAGAGCAAAAATAAACCTCTAAGTCTTCTATGTTAGATGGTTTTCTTTTAAATAATCTACCTATTTCTCCGTTCAGGGCAGTCTCTTGGTTCTGTCAACATTGTCCAGTCCAAGTTCCATGCGCAGCCCAAAGGAAAAGCAGTTTTATATGTTGATGCTGGTCTTCTGTCTGGTCTGTCCGAACTTCCTGGTGTTCATAAAATCCCTGTGGCGGTGTACCTTCAAGAGCTTTATAAAGCCCAACATGAAGACCATGTCATTCGTATGTTGTTGTTTTTTTAATTGAATTCATAACCTGCTCTCTTAATGACTTTCGATTAGAGTGAGACACTTGTTTATTTTATATTGTTAATCTCTACTGTGTGTATGTCTATATCCCATAGGATCTTTTTTACACCCACCTGATGAGCAGCAATATGATGTATTAATGTAATTCTGTTTTTATTTCCTTTCCAGGTTTGTTTGATTGAATGTTTGGTGTCTCTTGGTACTTCAGTTCTGGTGCTCATCGTTATGCCTCAGTTTGACGTACTGACCAATCTCTTCATCAGTGGAGGAGTCTGTATTGTCTCTGCAATATTGCAGATTGTGTATAGACTTCAAAGAGAAACCTGGAGAATTGTGTTCCCCATCTGCTCCCTTATTCTCACGGTTGCAGGTAACACTCTTAAATTTACTGACCAAATTAAGCTGTTGTTTTTGGCTTCTTTTAGAAGCATTCATACTCTGTTCAACATGGATACGTAAATGTTGTAAAGCCAAACACAGAATCAGAAGTTTTTTTGTTTTTTTTAGCAAATACCCCCCACTTCACCCACCTACCCCAAAAATGCCTTTCTTTTCCACCACCATCCCATTCCATATTCTGTCAGCATTAGTTCAACAGGCATCCAATGTAAGGTCCATGTTCCATTTTCACATTTTGAATGTACTCAATTAAAAGTAGTTAGGGAGGGAGTTAAAGTGGGTCTCTACCTCTACTGTTCCACCCTGAGCTTTTACGTCAAGTGTCTGCGTGTAAAATTTCATTGTGAATTTCCTGCACTCATTATGACACATGTCTCAGATAAACACAGCCAGATTTATTTACTGTCAGGTTAGTCCTGATAAATTTGTAAATGAGCATTGGAATAAATATTGCGTGCAGGTTGAAATCTCCTAGCTCCACGCAGTCTTCACAAATCAGTGTAGAGACCCAACAGCTGAAAGATTATGTCTCCTACACTCATTTATCTTGGGAGCTACTTTGCATTTATGTCATAACAATGAAGAAGCGTTATATCGATATTAAGGCAGAAAATTATTCATAAGGGCAAGCCTATTTCTATATTCTTGAATTTAAGTAAGTCATTGGGTGGAACAGTTCAGTTAATCATGGGCTTTTCTATGACTCCCGGGTGAGATTTCCACAACTGGAAGGTCCTTTTGTCATTTCCTGGTTGGACCTTGGCCACACCATTACCTGATCTGAGATAATGACTAGGTCTATCAATGTTAGGTTTCTCAAAAAATTTCATTTTTACAACACGGACTGTTAAAATTGCTCTTAATTTTCTTCATTTTTAAAAGAAAAATGAGATTCTACTTATTTACTAATTGCTGATATAATAACAGGTTACTGCCTCCTGGGACTTGACTACTATGTCCGTGTGTCATCATATGTTGATCGACAAAGCGCCGATTGCTTTTTCTACGTTGGCGTTGGAATTTTCTGTTCAATCCTTATCTCCCTCTGCTGGTGGGAAAATCCTCTGCAGGCTACAAACCGCATGCAGGTATGAGAATTGATCAGATGGCTTCCGCCTGATTAATGACAGCTCCAGGTCTGCAGGTTTATCATGCATCAAATTCTGATTGGACAAGTTCAGTCTGTTTTTTCTATACCCCGCAGAGTACACTGACAGAACTGGATGGATTCAGGGATTTCGTCTTTGTCATCAGCAGCATTCTGAGGATTTTAGTAATAGGTAACTATTGGTAGTTGATTGCAACATCACTGATCATTGTACAACTCAACAGTATGCAAACAGAAATGTGAACCTTAGAAATTGCCGAACATTCAAAGATTCATAGTGATATCATTGTTGGGCGTTTCCTGTTAAAAATGTTCGTCTCTTTGGAATCTGTTTTAACATATTCTAAATTTCTCAATTTTCTTTATGTCTATACAGAAGATTTGTTGTTAATTACATACACTATACATCCACAATACAAGTGATACTTTTGAACTATTCTGTCATTGCCTAGGGGCGGTATACCTGATCTACTATGCACTCATGGAGAAGTCCATTGTCTGGACCGACTTCAACCTGCAGAAAGATGAATGGGAACTCCTCCAAACAGGACTGGTGCTCTTTTTCTTGCAGGCAAGTTAAGGATACTCAGAGTAGCCGAGATACAAGTTTTCTATTAGTGTGCTTGAGCTATTGGTTCTTCTGGTACTTGTATTACAGGAATATAATAGTCAAATTTAATATTTGTTTAAAGTACATTAAGTGATTGAAGGATTACAATAAAAGTTCTGTGTTTTCAAACTCTAGTGTTTGCGCTCCACCACAAGACTACATATCCAGATCAAACATAGTTAGGCAATACCAGTTGTATTTTAAATGCCCTGGGAATAGTAAGCTTGCTGGGATCAACATCATGTCTCCTGTCAACAGATTTTGCATATTCATATGTTGAACAAATAAAGTTGTGACAAAAGTGCCAAAATGCACATCTCATTCAATTTTTTTTTAGAAAAGAATTAAGTATGACTTAATTAAAATTTCACTATCAGCTCTTTATAACAGCAGTCTGAGGGCTTCATAAATTGCTCGAATTTAAATTGTCATGTTAAAGGTTACAGAATAAAATGGCCATTGGTTTGATGAATCTTTGTCTGTCGCAGGCCTTCTGCTCTGCAGCCTGCCACTGGTTTGGCGTTGTGGCCTGCAAAATCCATGCTGTCAGAATGAGTTTTGCCCTGCCGCTATGTTGCACTGGACCTACAGTACTGCTGTTGGGACTAGTTCTGTTCATTGCTCAGGCACAAGCACTGGATGGTGCACAGCATGGGTCCATAACTGGTGAGTGTTTGGTTTTTCTTTTTTCAAGTTTCTAACTCAATACACTTCACGTTGCTAATAATGCATCCGATTAAACTTCCTTATATTGAATTGTAAATGGTTATTACTGCTAGTTACATGTGCAGGTGCAATATAAAGAGTTGCTCTCATAACAACCAAGACCAAAGATGCACCCACTTGTACTTTGGCCCCCCAGTGACAATAGTCTCTTTGACCCAACCCTTACTAAGGAAAATTATGGTCAGTGTCTTTCTTCACTGTAAGTCACTTGGAACGTAAGTTACAAAAGTCCAACAATAGAGAAATTCAAAATAAGTGTTAACCATTACCCCTCCAAAACACAGTTTAATTTTTGTTTGAGCTATAAACTGACAAGAGTTCCTAACCTTTGACATACATGTTTAATAATAAAAAACATTTGGCCAAAAGCATGGAAGGTTAAATGTATAGTGGAAGCTTCTGTGTTGAAGAAGACATTTTCATTCATTATTTTTCTAATCATGCCAGCATTTTGTGAAAGTCTGATCTTCCTGAGTAACAAGAACACAACCCCTGTGGCCTTACTTGAGGTTACCAAGAGCATCTGCCGAACTTCACTGAACAGGTATGTAATTCTGCTGGTGTGCAATAATGAAAAGCTTTCCTTTTCTGTATTTCATGAAACCCTCTTCCTTCACACTCTGTGTCTTTCATTTTACAGGAATTTCTGAGTGTAATGTGAATAATAAAGTGTACATTGGGCAGTTTTAGTGAGATTACACACATTTACAGCTCTGAATATTTTGTTAAATGTAGTGATGGATTGTTTCATTTACAGCTACTACTTGCAATGGCCTTTTCTGATGCTGGCTCTGGAGGGACTGTGCATGTGGTCAGGCTTCGTCACATGTACTTACTATGTGTGGAAGCTTAAGGTATCAGTACACATGCACACCTTCAGCTGTTTTTGCTAAATTTCTGAAAGCTCAATTCACATAACATAATCTAATAGATATTTTCCAGTCAATCAGCTTTTGGAATGGAAGGCATGATGGATTCAAGTTTATCTTAAAACATCAATAGTTAAAATAATTCAAAGTGAGCATGCTTTTTATCAATAAGATCAATAAAAAAAGCATACACCTAAATAATGTTGTGGTTCACCAGGTCCAACGTATCGAGAGGACCTCTCAGCTCTTTGTTCGTAGGCTCTATGAATCTGCTTTCATCGACCTGTCCCTTCTACTCAACACCAAAATGAAGCTCCCAAAAGCCCAAAATCAAGAGAGGTAAGACATCTGTGTTCCTTTTAGTGTGGAAATATTTTACCACAGTACTTGTAAGAATATCATCAATCTCCACTCTGATAAAAAAATAGGCAACTGCATGTAAATCTTCTGCCAATAAATAGTTACTTTTAGTTAATCAGATGATAAAGGTCCTATTAGCTTCATTCAGACATACAATATTTAGAATATATGCAAGACTGGACATTTCCACAACAGAGCCATTATGCACGAGTTCAACATTTGATGAGATATTTGTTATGGCTGTCTAATAAATGTGTTCATTCAACCTTGTAGTTGAATTGTTCAGATGCTGTCAGATTGGTAGGAAGCGTTATAGGTCTAAAAGGGGCTAAAGATTCACACTGTGCAGAAACAGCAGAGACACATACAGTACATGTCTTAGGCAGGATAAGCAAAGGTTCAATGGTTTAATTGTAAAGATATAGATTTGTACAAATGTAAAAAGTGTTGAAAGTTGAATCCGCTGATTTTGATGCATCTGGCACAGTGACTCTCTGCATAATAACTTTCTCAGAAACCACTGATGGATTTGTGTGATGATTTCTGCTGCAAATTCTGCACATTTGTTAATTATATGAAATCCTTGGCATCACTGCTTTTGCGTCAGTGCTCTGCCTCCATAACAGATGTTCTCTTGAAATGCATGTTCACAGCATTATATTCCACTAAAAATATCTCCTCTCTCGTCTCCTCAACTATTTGCTCCACAGCCAAGATGAACTGCAGAACTGTGTGATTTATCTTTGTGCCACCATGTGGCATGAGACTTATGATGAAATGCTGAAGATTCTCACCTCCATGTTCAGGTTAGAGACACCGTCCCTGTTCTTGAACTAGTGTCACATACAAAGCATGGCTTCAGTTCCTGTTCTACAGGCCTTTTAAAGAACTTGACCCATTTGAAAATGTTTTTGGATTCCATACAAGTTGAATATGTCAAACTCTCACATTTGGAATGCTTCATGCCTTATTATTAGACCAATTGTAAAAAGTGGCCATTACTATCCAGCTTTGCAAGTGAACAATAATTAGATTAAGTCCTGATTCTTTCGTAATGTCCCACAAAAGCCTTTCTGGTAAAGAAAATGTGCAACTCATAATGTGAAGTGCATAAATGTGCAGTGTTCTTGTTTTCATTGATTACATTTTTAAGTTGCGTTATTGTGTGTACTATCTATTTCTTAACTTAGGACTTTTAAAATTAAAGAAAAATTTCCTTCAATGATCTGTTGCTATCTTTTTTTTCTCAGGTTGGACCGCTATCGAGGTGACCCAAAGGAGGAACATAAGGACTGTTTTGATTTTGAGTGTCACATTTATGTGGATGATGCTTTCATGACTGAAAAGGAAACAGGAAAGAGGCTTGTTAATTCCTATGTCAATGACTTGATTAGAGTTGTGATAGAGGTTTATAGGTGAGGCTGCCTGCTGATCAACTGTCTGCATATACCATACCGAAAATAAGCATTTACCTTGACAAACCATCCGTCCATTCTTCCATTCAGGGTGTTTACCAACAAAGAGCCAGATGACGTGTCTATTATTGAGGCTCCTTATGGTGGGAGGCTGATGTTTGTCCTGCCAGAAGGCAACATGCTCTATGTCCACCTAAAAGACAAAAGTCTCATCAGGAACAAGAAAAGATGGTCCCAGGTATGGGGAATTACCTGCTGTCACATAGCGTCTATATTTTTTATTATTTTTCATGCCTACATGGCAGAATGGACCCCATAGCCACTCCAACTACAAGCTCATCCCAAAGTGTGCACTTCAATCAAAACAGGATCTTTTCCTATTCCTATGTCATTTTTGTTCAGTAAAAAATCTAGATTTTGATTTAGTACCAAAGTCAAAAGTAAATCCAAATCGGATGTGAAAATTCAAATAACATTCCTTTACATTTGCTCAAACATCAGCAACTTATACTACTTTAGCTACTGGATGAGGTTCCAGCAAATTATTACCTCCACCTTTGATGGCAGATTTTCCACAAGGCTACAATAGATGTTTTCTTCTCAAGCAGTGGAGTTTTCATACATGGGTTATGCAGAGCATGACAATGACAATGTACTAAGAATAGAGAGCAATGTAACAGCACTTAGTTTCTGTAGCAATTATTCAGTTTTTCTTTTCGAAAAAAACATTATGCAGTCTCAGTTAATGTTTTAAATATATTTTTTCATAAACCCAAACATTTACCAAGAAATGCATGTCATGGATAGAACTGGTAAATCATCACATATGAAATATTCTTACTTAGATCTTTCAAATATTGGGCAGGAAATAGACTGAAAAATATTTCATATGACTTTTAATTTCTATTTTGCATTGCAAGTAGTAAGTCTAAAGCTGCTTTCACAAAGGGGATCAATCATGATTATGTGTGCTTACTTTTTTATTCATGCAGTTAAAATAGCATCTCTTCTAATTTCATAATACTACATTCGCTACAAATATTGGAAAAGGTTCAGATTAAACGAAAGATAGTCTTCAGACCCAAGATTTTTACACTATTGATTGCCTGTCTGTTTTCAGATAATGTACCTGTATTATCTGCTTGGCTGGAAGGGTTATATTGTGAAGAATCCCCAAAAGATTCCAGTAAGACTATTCTACATACATTTTGTACACAATACTGTTGATAACAGCACAACAGTAGTAACCACTAAGTGTTGAACGCATCTATTCTGCCTATTCCAGCGCCAAAACAATACCAGAGAAAGTTTGATCTCTATGGACGGTGAGATTTTCCTAATGCCTCAATATGACAATGACAACAAGAGAAAATTCATCTCAGATGACAACACATACATACTGGCTTTGGACGGAGACACCGACTTCCAACCAAAGGCAGTGATTCTGCTTGTAGACAGGTCAGCAGAAGAAAAATCAACTGGCCTTTTTATACGCGTCCATATGTTTGTAACAGAAGACTGTACTTCTTAACAGGCTGAGGATGTATGAGAATGTAGGTGCAGCATGTGGTAGGATCCACCCTACTGGTATGGGTAAGTTATCCCTTTTTTAAATTATACTCACAGGTGTTTAATTCAAATAGACCTTGATTAATTTACATAAGTGCAAGACTTTCAGTTACATAAAGTTTCAAGACTCAGTATTTTAAGCGTGAGATTCATGGAAAATCTCTTTCAAAACCCTCATAGGTCCTATGGTTTGGTACCAGAAATTTGAATATGCTGTAGGCCACTGGCTACAGAAGACAGCAGAACATGTGTTTGGCTCCGTGTTGTGCAGTCCAGGATGTTTCAGCCTGTTTCGAGGGTCAGCCTTGATGGATGACAATGTCTTAAAGAGGTACACAACAACTGCAACAAGAGCTTCAGAATATGTGCAATATGACCAAGGTAAGTAAATACAGTCCACTCAGTTTTAATTTCCACATTTCTGTTTTCCGTTTAAGCATTTATCTTTGAACATTTATCATCAGGGGAGGATCGTTGGCTATGCACTTTGCTGCTGCAACAGGGCTGGCGTGTGGAATACAATGCTGCATCAGATGCATACACCAACTCACCACAGGAATTCAAAGAGTTCTATAACCAGAGGAGGCGATGGGGACCTTCTACATTGGCTAACACACTGGACGTTTTGCACAGGTTAGGGTTCTATATAATTATTTTGTTTCCTCATATCATGTTTTAGCAGTGGTGGACGTGCATTTCACCCCTGGGCCTTCAGTGGTGCTCCGTCTGACTCAATTCACCCTTCAATAACTATTTTATGGTTATAGAAATCATCTTATTATGTAGAAATACAGTAGGGATGTCCCAATACAGCTTTTTGTATTGAAGTTGAAAGTTATTTATCTACTTACTTAGTTGTCAGACTCATGTTGAACTTGGATTTACTCTTTTAACAACTAAAGTTTACACAGACCTGTGGGTTAGGAGATGCTAATGCTAATGCTAATGTGGGATCGGACTTTAAAAAAAAAAAATGGATCTGGATTCTGGATCGGCAGTTTCTCGTGCCAACCGATACGATCCAAATATCGGATCGGGACCAGCCTAAAATACAGTATAAAGACCAGGGGTGGACAAGTCTTCTTCTACTCCTGAAGCTACATCTGCGACCCCCCCCCCCCAAAAAAAAAGAAAAAACAAAACATTAATAATATCCTCATAAACTCGCAATACTATTTAGAAAAAAAACAACATTTTACTCACTTTTCTTGAAAAGTCCATCTTGAAAATGGCCTTGACGGTAAATCCGCCACCAAATCATAAAATAGCTATTACACCAACACAACTATATTTCGGTTTGTTTGCTAGTTTTGCCCTGATTGGATATCTGACTATCCAATCAGCGGGTGTGGATACGGTGACATTGCGCCCTAGGCCTTCGAGAAGGCCCAGCTGTCACCAACCTAAAATCTGATTGGTTGAAGCAACAGCGTACTCCACATGTATTTTCTGTGGGGGGGGGGCTGCAGAACTGATTGTGAAGGCCTCCAGGCAGACATCTTTGAATTTGACCATGCCTAGTGACAAATGATGGCTGAAATGTGATTGGTTAAATGCTTTTATATGAAAATGCATGTCTGGAAGCAGCACAACCAGGGGAAAAGCTATGAAAGGAAGCGGACAGACTAGAGATATTTAATAAGTTTCCATGGACAAAATATAATTAACATCAGTCTGTGATTCAGATATTATCTTAGGCCTGCAGAGAAGGCCTTGAAGGCCCTGACGGCCCACCACTGTGTTTTAGATATTAACTTTTGAGGTTCCAGTAAAATCTGCATGTTTAAACATTAAGGGTGAGACAGCGACTTCATTTTGATGTTAACTCTTTACTGGCCATCTGTCTCTCCCCATAGTTCCGCAGAGACTGTGAAAAGAAACTCATCCATCTCCAGGCTTTATATCCTCTATCAGATGTTCACTGTTGGATCTTCTATCCTTGGCCCAGCCTCTGTCACTCTAATGATAGCAGGTAGGTTTAGGTTTGCTTTATTACAAATGTTACCTGAGCAACTGTCAACAACTGCAACGGAATAGCCATCCCTGGTATCTTGCAATCACTTTTTATCTACCTTAGCTTTGATAAGCGAATCCTTGAAGACATTTGGACTGCACTTTATCTGTATTTGAGCACCCTCTTGGCTTGGACAGCACAAGCACATTCACCTTTGTCTCCTCAAGTGCAGACCATTTTTCATCATCATTTTAGGGTTACAAATGTAAGCATACAGATCAAGAATACATGTTTGTATCACATGAGAAAACCTACACTAATATTGTGTGAAAGGTTTATTCTCCTTCGACAACTTGTTCAGCTAGAAAGAATGCATGCGCTTCTGTAAGGCCAAGGGCCCCGAGATGTTGCACTGAGTCGTGGACTTTGCATATCGGAATGTTTGATCACAATGGAAAGTTATTGAGAGTATTTCTTTGAGCCTACTGCAGTAACAAAAGTGAAGCTCAAGAACAGACATACTGTACATGGTGAAAACAGAAGTAAATGTAGTAGATAAAAAAGTTTTAAGAACCAACTTATTCATAGATTCAGAGTTTTCAAGACAGTTTTCAGGCTAATCAAACATGGATAAGTCAGACTGTAAAATTAAGGACAGAAATGAATTACTAGAATTGTCATCCACTGATTTTGTCAACAAAAGTATCAACATGCAGATTAAACCACTGTAAGACTGTAATTACCTGTGATGGTAACAACAGAAGAAATCCAAATTTTAATCCTACAGTTCAGTGGGTTTTTTGGGGGAGGTTTCTTTGTTTTTCCAACCGTTTTTTTCCATCTACATCAGGGGTGTCAAACTCCAGTCCTGGAGGGCTGCCGTCCTGCTGGTACAGAGGTTTTCCTGTTTCAACACACCTGATTCACATCAATATTAGCAGGCAGGTGCAAAGCTCAACGATGTCCAGAAGAGATCCAGTTTAATCAGAATCAGGTGTGCAGGAGCAGGAAAATCTCTGAAACCTGCAGGACCGCGGCCTGGAGGACCGGAGTCTGACACCTCTGATCTCCATGCTTTCCTGCTCATTAATTACCTGCCCTTTCTCTCTATGCCCTTTCTTGCCAGGAGCTTTTCAGTTTATCTTCAAAATGGCTGGAACTACTTCCATAATCATCGCAAGCGTTCCCCCTGTGTTCTACATCATCATCTGCTTTACGACCAAGGCTAACACTCAGATAACAATTGCTGGCATCATGAGTGTTCTTTATGCATTTCTCATGACCGCATCCTTCTTTTCCATCATTGGTGAGTTCAGTCCTGTTTTCACTATTTATTGCTTATTACTTTGCCTTTTTGGACAAACAAATTCATAAATCTAGGCATATATGTTATTCTGTTATTCTTTTAGGTGACATGGTGATGCAGGGCACCTTCCTGACCCCTACAGGATTGTTTTTGGTTTCAATGGCAATCATGTACTTGGTGACAGCCATACTACATCCAGAGGAATTTGGTGTGTATACGTCATACAATAATAGATATTATTATCACTGGTCAATTTGTGTGGTAATTTTGCAACTAAGAAAAAAACAACTTTTTGCTGTCGGAAGAGATGTTTTGTCTTTTTTTTTTTCCTGATCTAGTCTTGGCTTTCTTTTTTTAATAACGACAATAATATTCTTAACAATGAGGATAATGTATTATAACACCACATAAGTTAACTTGTGCTAAAAAAAAAGTATTTCACTCTATTTCAATTTTATATTCTGTTACATTTCTCTTTAGGGATGATTATCTATGGTCTGATGTATTTCATCTGTATCCCCAGTGGATACCTCCTACTGACCATCTACTCACTGGTTAACATGCACATTGTGTCTTGGGGCACAAGAGAATCCAACAAGTAATGATATAAACTGAGTTAGAAAAAGCAGCTGTTTTTTTTTTTCCCTTTTACTTTTGATTCAAATTTTAATCTATGCATGACTAATTCTCTATTTACATAAGAAGCATCAAATTCTGAAAATTACATTTCTGAAATAAATTTTTCTGCTACAGTCCAGTAACTGATCCTGCAACTTCCGCTTTCAGTTGAGTTTATAAACTGGGCACAACAAAATGGCTGGAAAAAGAGAGTAGAGGAGAATATTTTCTACCAGTTTTATGTGAAAATACGTAGTCTCAATGTGCATGTTGATAAGAGAATATAATCAAAATGAAAAAAGCAGACAAATTCTTGCAGTACCTGATTTTCTGATGAGTCCTGTCTATATCATAATTATAATTCTAATTATTGTTGTTGCTGTCATCAGAATGCTAAAATATTCGACATGATCAAAATGTACATGTGAATTCGTAAACCATGTATTGCACAGGAGAAATGTCAAATAACATAACACGGAATCAGAAAATATTTTCTAATCACATCAATCAGCAAGAATGACCCTACAGGTGTTGGTCTTAAAATGTGCGTGTTGTCCTGAAGTGTTATCTGCTTCTGTTGTGTGTTTTAGGGGAGAGGGAGAAGTAAAGAAAAACCGAAACCTTCTGTGTGATAGAAACTGTACCCTCTGCTGCTGGGACATGAAGCTCCAGGTACTGCTGCAAGGCAGTCGCAAACAAGCCTTTTAATGGTCGGGCAGGAGAATTCACATACTCATTTGTGTTACAGATCACCCAAGAAACGGAGAATATGATGCTTCAACAGATCACAGCGCAGACTGCACAGAAAGTCCATGCACTTACAGCCCCCAACCATCAACAGCCTCAACAGGCACCCTCAACAATGGAACTTCAAAGCAAGCATGCTGCCGACACTGAAGATGACACAGAAGTGAAACACCTTCTCTCTGATGAATACAATCACAGAAGCAGTGACCTCGGTACCAGTCGCAGGTAATTTTTATTTATGTACAGTACATATAATGGAGGAAGAAAAAGACACCCTAGAGACACAGGTGTGTAATGATATCTCTGTCACTGAGATATCATTAAAGCTGTAAATTTAAGTTCTCACTCATTTGAAAATAACACCAATGATGAAAAAGTTCAATCAAAAGCAATGATACAAGATTTTTTAAAGTAAAAAGAAAGCATACTTATGGTCTTTTGTTTCTGAGTTCTAATTTTGACTTTCCAGCATGAAAAATCATGCGGCAAAACAAATATTCCCTTGTTTTGTCACACAGTGATGACAGTGCTGAGAGAATCAGCTCAAACATGAGTTCATCTGATGAAGATGATGACGATGACAACTTTGCGACAGCTGATTTAGAGGAAACAAATGAGATTGCTTTTAGCGGTGAGAATCAACACTTTATTTATTTTGAATACTATAATGTAGAACAAAGTATGAGTAGAACATAACACTGTGATGATGCCACTAATGTGTCTCTGCAGACTGGGTGATGCCTGTAAAAGAAGAGTTTTTGAAGAAGCTGACTTTTGCCAACATGAAGGGAAATCTAGAAGAACAAATAAGGTTAAATATTGTTTGTTTTTGTCTCTAGACTTTTTAAACTAAATCTATAAAATAAGCATTGCAATTCTTCCATCAGTTTGCAAACTTGAAACATTTTTTCTGTGTTGTAATACTTGCCACAATTCAATTGTTGCTTTTTGCTTAGATGTTAAATGTGTGTCCATAAGTGTGTGTTGATTGCTTGCATGTCTGTGTAATAATATGCGAGGAGGTTATGTTCCATGTCTCGCTGTGCATTTTCAAGGTTTTAAAATACAGTACCCATCCACATCGTCATTTTCAAGATGTCTCTGCATAAGTACGTTTATTTGCTATTGTCTTTTTCTCCACCTCAGATACACACTCCGCAACAAAAACCAGGATGACGTGTGTGATGAGCTAGTTCTAATGTTAACAGACACGCTTAATATTGAGCTCAGCTCAGTGGGGCCTGAGGATATTTTGCCACAGATTAAGCTTGAGGAGCTGCAATATGCCCTGACAAAGCAGGTGATTAGAAGTGATTGTTTTTCGACTATAATAGCCATTTGTTCTTCAGCTTGTGGCTATTATGGCTGTTTTGATTTAGACTATTCATATTTAAGTTTTTCATTCAGCAATTCCTGCTTTTAATTCCATCAGAGCCTCTGCAGAAAACTTAATTGAATCTTTATGTTTAAGGCTCGCCAAATCCTGAAAAGCAGTCGGATGATGAAATTAGAAAGAAGGGTGAAAAGAGCCATTGAAAAAACTCTCACTGCCCCAAGAGTGCAAAAACTAGACGAGGTGAGTGACACAATCAGCCCAAGTCTGCCAGATGCAAATTGTCTGCAAAAGGCTGGTAGTCTGTGTACACCACCTGTCCAGTGTCAACTTCAGATGAATAAATGGATGCTTCCCACAGCTTCTGACAACACCATTGCTTATTCTAAATAAATGCTAAACATCTGCCTTTAGGGTGAGAATGACTTCTGGATCAAGCTACTTGAACGCTACTTGGGACCGATAGTGGAATCACCAGCACACAAAGAGGAAGTCACCAGGGAACTGAAATCACTGCGCAACAAGGTATACCATTTTTGGGACTCAGTGCCTTTTAATGTTCAAATACTGACTGATTTTCTCTCAAAAGGAAACGGGCAAGTTAAAAAGATTAAAAGCTATATTTCTTGTTTGTCCTGAATGGCAAAGATTTGCATCCAGTGGCCTAAGAAATATATTTTCTCCCCTTAGGCGGTATTCCTTTATTTCATCATCAATGTGCTCTGGGTAGTGGCTACCTTCTTCCTGCAGGCCATTGGGAATGATATCATCAGCATCAAGATTCCCAAATATACCATAGGTTCAAATAGCACTGACGAATACCTTAAGGTTGGTGGTAGCAACACACACACACACACAGTTCAAAATGAATTGTCAGTGACCTTTAAGTAAAATGTTCCCTAAACAGTAATTATGTTTTTTCTTACAGGTGGAGCCCCTCAGTTTGATGTTCTTACTGTCCTTTGCTGTTCTATTGCTTGTCCAGTTTCTTGCGATGCTGTATCACAGGTACAAACACTACATTCACACAACCCCAACTTCAGTTTTGTAGTGGCAGAGAAATTTGGTTCAAGTGTTACACCTGTAACTTGGTGTTTTCTTCCTACATGACAATGGATTTTCATATTTCCCATGCTTCAAACTGTAATCTGTCGTCTTTTTTATGTCCATATTTCTAACAGATATTTTGTTTTTGGGTCTCTTCTTTGCAGGGTCTACACCTTGATCCACGTCGTGTCTTATCGCAGCACAGAGAAAGACTACAAAGTGAAAGACGATGTAAGGACCAACACACAAACGGTCAACTTGGTTTTATTGTGCGAAGACACTCTGCCCCCCCCGGCCCCTTAAACATCAAAATGTTAAAGAACCAAGAGCAAATGTTTAAACATAATTTATGTGATAGAAACAGGAAAACCCGGTGACTAAACGCTAAAAAATAACCAATTCACATTGTCAGTGCATTGACATTGAGTTCACCAGATTGGACAATACTAAATGCGATGCAGGTCACTGCACCTTCAACTCCAAAACCGATCCCTCTCTTATAAAAAATAAAATAAAAAAAAGATAGAAGTATCACATTTTTGATTACCTTTTTAAAATTTGCAGTAAAAGGCATCGCATTCAAATTAATGGCATGTCATTGAGGATAGCAAAAAAAGCAACAAGGCAAAATTCAGCTGCAACACAGATGGACATTACAGCTTTTCAAGTTTCCTGATATGGTTTGTGAGACATTTAGCTGCTATAAAGAAGTAAAAAGAAAACTGTGAAAACCAGACACCTTTTTTCTGTCAACATGGTAGAAACTCTGAAGTAGGGAAAATCATTTATTTGTAAATGTGGCCAACACAAGGGTCTTTCTATCTTTTTGTCTTTTTGTAATACAGGAGGATGAAGAGGAACTCACCGTGGAGAACCAGTATGCCATCTCCATTAGCAGTGAGGACTTGTAAACAGAAAACAGCTGTGGCACAAGAGATGTAGCAGTCAGTCCTCACAGAAGTGGTCAGCAGCAAATCAGCAACTCTTACCATCAAAGGACTTTTTCCCTCCACTGACGGTGTACTTCCTTCAGCCTCCACAACGCTCTTTGATCAAATTACTAAGAGGTTCAACTCTCCAAATTTCTGTAGATAAGCCATGAGTTAATGTTGCCCAAACAAGAAATGATAAATTTCATCAATCCTGCAGCAGGTGCTTTGCCTCCCAGTAGAAGATTAGATTGTAATCCATTTGGGAAGCCCAACCGGCACGAGGGAAATCAGTTTCAACAGATCCAATAAGCTTTGTTTGACAATGCAAAATGAGGAAGTGTGTGTACCTGGGGTTTAACACAACATCATTGGAGACTGATTTTAAAGACCACATTTTATCGGAATGTTTGCTTTTGAGATTTATATTTTGTTTATGTATAAATGCATTGCGTTAACAGAGCCTTACTGTTATTCAAATTTGTGGTTTAGTTGAGTGTGTTTTGCAGATTGCAAAGATTAAATGACTACTTTTACAGAAAAATTTTTTTTTTCCTTATTTCTCAGTCAAAATTACCTCAATAAGCAAAATACATCTATGAATGTACTTTTTGACAACTATTATCAAAACAGATACTTTAAGTGTTTCTGAGACACGACCAGTCTTACATTGTGGTCTAAGTAATCTGGTACAAATGGAGTACTCTGTCACCAACATTTTTCTCTAGCATTTACCTTTTCTCTGTGATGCAGCAAAATGCTGCATCCATGCAGTAATCGCTTGTGCTGTAATGCAACATTAAATTGTTAAAGTTTTTTTACTTCTTGCCTTGGGATTGAATAAAGTATTTATTTTAATTACAGGTTTGTGTAACTAGTTACAAAATGTGTTCAGCATTTTAATTCTGAAAGAGAAAATGAAAGGTCTCGCAGGTTTCTTTCATTCATTTGCAAAGAATAAACAGTCTGAGCTGACCTTTTTAATGAACAAGTCAATTCATCCAAAAGAATGAAGGTGGTGGACACAATCATTAGATAGAGGCAATTGCAAAGCAATCATCCAATACAGTTTGGGGAGAGAAGTTTCATCTGACAGCGATGCAGGAATCTGACAGTTGAGCTTATCGCAGATTTTCCATCAGTGCTAAACAGGACAGTGTCTGCACTGTGAACCATGACGTGTTGAAATCTCATTAAAGACAGAGTTGCATGTCATTTCTGTCGTGTTTGCTACAAATGGTTTATGATCTGGGACAAAGGTCTGATTTCTGCAGCTGTTCCCCAAACACCCACTACTGAGAAACAAAATACATTATTAGGACATTACCAAAAGCCCACTGGATGACAGATTCCAACTAATTCGACATCATGTCACCACATAATTCATCACGCGTTTTGTGATTTTAGTCAATCCAAGAAATAGACACTTTGCTGCTTAGTTTTACTGAGCAGTGGAAATGTCGCTTTTTAAAATGTGTCATTCCGTGAGTTTCTGTTAATGCCATCAACCCTCCCCCCAAAAAAAGATCAGGCATTACAAAAAAATGCTTTTTGCACTCTGTTCAGATAACACTGTATACCCTGCATCTAAAAAAACAGCTGCAATTAAATGATCTTTAACGGTCACAGAGTGACGGACAGTCCAGAGTCCACAGGCTAGCACTTTAGTGATCAAACGCTTGGCTAAAGGAACGTTTATGTCCTCCCCTGTTGTTGCCGCCTCCATTACCCCGGAAGCCATTGCCACGGCCACCGTTTCCCCGGAAACTCCGTCCCCTTCCATCTCTGAACCCTCCTCTGTCACCGCGGTTATTAAACTGCTTCTCCTCCAGCTCTGGGAGCTCAGTGGATACAGTCAGCTGCCAACGACGACCATCTTTCCAGTTTCCCTGTGGAAGGAGTGAGCAGACAGGGGGATTTTAAGTATATTGTAAAGATCCAAAATATGTTTCTATCTCTCTCCATGAATTATTTTCATTCATCTAATCCTGGAGGTTTTATCAATAATCTTAGATCTTCTCACCTGAATTTCTTTGACTTTGTCAGCAGGAACATCAAAACAAACTCCCTGTTACAAACAGAATAAAGACAAGAAGATGAGCATTTCTGTGCAGGCGTCACAAACAAAAAGACTTTCAACTTTTTCCCCGACATGTTTTTTTCTGTTGAGTTGATGCAGAGAAAACAAGCGTTCTCTATGAAAACAGAGAACGTCAGTTCTCATAATGAAGGATCACTGCCTATGTTTTATCAAGACCTCACAACTGCACTCAAACCTAAAGCAGCATCCATTATAACCTTACATACATTCCAACAATGGCAACGCAGCTTCAATTCTCATCAAATTAATTGACAAATGTCACTTGTCTAAATTTAACTAACAAATGGGAAGATCAGAATTGTGTCAAAGAATTTGCTAGCAGGTGTGCACTGGAGGGAACATTTACCACCCAGTGAGCGGGTACTTACTGTTTTGCCTTTGAGGAAAGTCATTCTGTGTATGTGGTTCTCCATCTCATCCCCAAGCTGTTCTTTGATGGCCCTCCAAGCAAAACCCAGGTTATGCATCTCTTGAGAACACGACAACTGGATAGTGGTGTAACCCTGGATAAAGAAGCCAAACAGTGGGTAAGACTCCCCTTCTGGATCCACATAATATTCCAATGTGATGGAAAATACAATCCATTTGCATTTCCAGAAGAGGATGCCCCCCCCCCTTAACAATTACAAGTTTTAGCACATACTGGCCGGTTCCTCCAAGTGGCCTGAGGGGGGCTGACGGCACACTGCCTGTCCCTTATTAGTCGTGTGACTCAGTGAGTGACACGTTTGTGTAGAAATTCCAGAAATGTTGCCGGATGTGTTTGCGTGCGTATGGAACTTACAGCATCAGAGCTGAGCAACGACCTCTGCTCCAGACTGGTGGCTCCAGAGATATGGGCCAGGGCTGCAGCAAGAGCATCTACTGCCCCCCTCTCCTCGATAAGCTTCTCCGCTGACGCTTTGAAATATGCAACAGCTGCAACTGGAACAGAATCCAGAAACCTGGGCACAAAGAGGGGAATCAAGAAGTGCTGTGATGAGGAACCATTTCACAGAAAAGTGGAGTAGCTGGACACAACTCTGAGCACAACATGTTTAGTCTCCTAAACTCAAAGTAACCAACCTGACAGCATCTTTGCTTGATGACTTGATGATGTCATTGGCAGTTGGAACCCCCACTCGCCTGAATGAGATGCCCTGAAACACCAAATCCAATATTTACAACTGATTTCTACCAGCTAACAGCTTGGAAGCCGATGCATAGTTTGTATGAACAGATGCTGGCAGAAATTGTTGTATTTAAGGGCAACATGTTTACGAAGAAAATAAACAGAAAGATCCAAAAGGTTCACCGTTTAAAACGGTAAAGAAATACTTTTCGCTCTGCGGTCTGGATGTCCAGGCAGTTAGTCTGGAGGAAATAACTCACAGCTTTGTTTTCCACGTAGCGAAGTTGGTCCTCTTCTTTCCTCTGGTAGAAGCAGATGCAGACTCCAGTTCTCCCCGCCCGTCCTGTCCGACCTGATCGATGTATATACGATTCTACGTCCTGACAACAGGAAAAATTTGGTTTACAAATGGTAAGGGTTCACCATTAAGAACAAGACAGTGTTAGCTCCCCATTTTTAATCACATCATCTGTTCCTGAATGCACCAACACTGCAACATTTCAAAATCAGCAAAATTACAACCCTAACCTTGGGTGGAGAACACTGGACCACCAGATCAACTTCAGGGATGTCTAATCCACGGGCTGCAACGTTTGTGGCGACCAGAACCTCAAAGGCACCGTTCCTGAAGCCTTTCAGGGTAATTTCTCTCTGTTTCTGTGGAATATCACCATGGAGGCACTGGGTGCTCTAAAAATATACAAGCACAAAAAAAGAAGTGAAGAAAAAAAAGTTATGAGTGAATAAACCCTGTTGCTCATTAAAAAATGTAAAAAGAACGAAAAGGAATGATGAAATTCCTTTGGTGAAGTTCCACAATACAAGGAATGCTAACTGACTTTCAGTGAATTACAGGCTGAACGTGTTAGTAGTGTATAGAGAAGTCATTCATAACATTTTATAAATTCACTGTGCATACGTGTACCTGTTTGATGGATGCATTCAAAGAAAGTTCATTGGCCTCTTTCTTTGTCTCACAGAAGATGATAGTCCTGCCGTGGCGGCCACTGTACACTTGGATCACATCACCTATGACCGCTGCACGCTGGGACCAGTGGCATGCTATGGCCAGATGCTGCAGAGGGACAAACAGGCAACAGACCATAAAAGAAAATTCCCTCTCGTGCCACAAAACACCATCACACACACATTTCTTCCCCCACCTGTCTCACACAAAAACTTACCTCAACCGTTGTCGCAGCTTTCTGGGTTTTCTTGCCAATCAAATCGATGTGCTTGCACCCTGGTCTCATGTATTTCTTGGCCACGTCATACACCCAGGGGGGGCAGGTGGCCGAAAACAGGAGAGTCTGCGGGTTGGCGTCAGAATCTAGAGAAGGAGAGAAATTAACATATGCACAAACCAAAATCCATCACGCATGTGGAGTTGACTCAAGCATAAAGAAGGAAAAGGGGAAAAAAACAAACTGACTGATTTACCTTTGCTATAGGATGAACTTAAAATCTCTTCCACCTGTTCTGCAAATCCCATGTCCAACATTTGGTCCACTTCATCGAGCACAACGTGCTTCAGTTGAGCGAGGTCCAGCTTGTTGTTCTGAAGGTGATCTTTGATCCGCCCAGGAGTTCCAACCAAGACATCAATACCATTACGAATGGCATCAACTAAACGGGAGGAGGGACATAAAGAGAGTGGTTGTCAATCAGAGCAGAAAGCCTGCTGCTGTAAGAGCCGACCGAAAAACAGAGAGAGGAGAAACATAGTGGAAAGGATATGAAAAGTAAATGAAAAATGTGTTTCATTAGATTAAAAAATAGGATATGAACAGGTGACTGTTAATTAACTAAATCAACTGCCCCAGTGCAAGATTAGTGCTGGCTAGTTCAGAAAAATAGGACTGTGTTTTGGAATGAGACATACTCTGTGGGTTGTATGAGCTGCCTCCATAGAAACAAGCAATAGCCACGCTCTTAGAGATGTCTTTGAAGTCCTTTGCAACCTGGATCGCCAACTCTCTTGTAGGAGTCAAGACCAGGACCTATAGATTTTTTTAGAAAATTATTTTTTTTAAAGAAGGAAACAAAAAAAGAAAGAAAAAAACTCAGTTGAACAATTCAAACACTCAGAAAATGAAAGAGACACCATCTTTTGGTGATTGTTGAGCACCTTGGGAGGCCGGCCTCTTTTCATCTGTCCTGAATCCTTCTGCAGCTTCTCCACCAATGGTATGGCAAAGGAGAAAGTCTTTCCTGTTCCAGTTCGGGCTTGGGCAATTACGTCTTCCCCATTATATACAGGATAAAATGATTTTACCTGGATGTCAAACAGGTAGGAGACTCCACGAGCTGAATAGGTGAGAATAACCACAAAAATTATTCCCAGATACAATGACGAAATCAAATCAGATACAATGTCCAAATCCCAGAACCTGAGACGCTTTCATACAATAGACATGTCAGAATATTCCTCAAAGGATAAAACGTAATCAAAAATACACACACAACATAAAAATCAAATATAAATATTAAGTAAAACATACTCAGTTAAAAGCAATGTGTTTAAAGAAAGAATGTTTCAAACTGTAGTTTTAAACAGTGGTTAAAAAAAAAGTAAACAGGACAATGTTCACCTTTCAATTTATTTACAGTGACTTGAGAGATGTTGAAGTTGGAGAATGCCCCTTCTTTCTGCTCTGGTGTTTCCCCCTAAACGAAGAAACAACAGTCAATATAAAGAGTGTACGACAGTTACAGGATGTTAAATAACTGATTAAGCACCAAATGTGGTTTAAAAAAAATTACTGGTGGTGAAGGCATTCATAGCAATCAAACACCATGATTTTTCCCTCTTTCTTTTTTTTTTTTAAACTCAAAATTATGCAGATACCATTTCTTTTTCACTGTCGGTGGCTGAGTCATCGCTTGAGTTAGATGGTGTTTGGATGGGAGTCGGAACAGGTGTGTTTGAGGTGGAAAGTCCATTGGTTTCTGCTTCTGCAACTGCTTTCTCTCGCTTCTTCTTGCTTTTCTAGACCCATAAAAAAAAGGATCAAAGAGTTTGTAACATTAGAGACATGGGATCCACATTTATCATTGTGTTTAACAATCAATGTCTCCAATTTGCTATTTAAATATAAAGTTCACAACAACACTCACCTCTGTGCCTTCTTTGTTTTTGGTCTTTTTCTTTGGCGTTTCCACAACACTGTCATTGCCATTCACGTCAAAAGCCTCATTCACTTGGTCCACGGCCAGTTTATCTTTTTTCTTTTTCTTCTTTGGTGCTGGAGGGTCACATTCTGGATCTTCCGGCTCCAAGATTTGCTCCTGTTTCTTCTTCAGCTTCTTGCCCTCTTTGGTCTTGTTTTTCTTCATTTTGTGGACAAAAACATTAAAGCATTATAGCAAAAACTGGTCAATCTGAACATTGAAAATTGTTTACGGTCTCAATAGGAAACTGACTGGCAGATTAGTTTCAACGTAAACATTAATAAAATAACTCTGTTTTCTTACTTGATATAAATATACTTCTTCTTTTACAATTAGGTTTGCACTCCTTAACATTTGCACAAATGATGAATATCCAAACCACTGTTTCAGATTATCTCCACTTTTGCTTACAAAACACTCCGGCTGCCACCATAATAAATCTGATGTAACGGAAAATAAGACAGGGTTTGTTTGTAAACGTTTCCAGAACCTCGCTGCAACTGGAATATACGTCATCAGATAGCGACCGTAGCGCAGATATGCAAACAAATGAAAGGCAGACTTTAGTTGCCATTTTTAAACCCCCCCCCCCTCCACATGTTTTACAGATCTGCAAAGTAACACAAGGCCGCAACATGTGCTATGCGGTTAGCTAGGCTAATGGCTCTTTAACACCACCTTTCTCATTAGATATCTGTCGAAGAACTTTACTCAAGAGCTGATTTTATCAGACGCAAGGGTGTTGTCTTTGTCTCATATCGCCATTTCTATTTAAAATTGATAGTGTTGTTTACTTGGTCGGGTTTTCGGGTGAGCACGTTCGCCACATGTCAAACATGGAGGACCGGTAGCTGTGGCTCGCACTTAGCGCGGATTATTTTAGCATTTACGGAGCGGAACAAGTCACCATACTCACTTTTAAGGTTTTAGCCTCCGCTACAGTGTCCATGTCTTCATTCGTGTTTTGTTCCTCGCTTTCAAAAATGATTTTTGACGGCATTTCTCTTCCCTGCTGGAGACCCTCGGCGTAGACACACAGGCAAACCCACGGGCACGCGGATGGAAAGGAACGCGCAAACCGGCGGTGGGAGGAGGCAAAATGTGGAGAAAAAAAGATGGAGTGGAACCACAGGACAGCCCCGAAAACATAAACAAAAAAATGTACTTATCTTGAAATTGCTAGTACTAGTAAACCTATTTTGGATCTATTTAACTATATACATATCTAAATGTAACTGGCATTGCATTTCTCATTTGGAAATTTGATATTATATTGAAAAAAAGTAGAATACCTAAATCACTTTTAAGAAAAAAAAAAGGAATGCATAGTATTTCACTTTACTCAAACAGAAAAAGCACACGTCCATTGTGTATACCGCTCACTGTGGACTAACGTTAAGTTGTTTTTAATTCCCGAAAACCAACTCAACTCTCACATCACAGGATTATGATAGTCACCCCATAGCAGTTGGTTCTATCTGCCCTGAAAGGTAGCATTTTTTCTGCACCTGGAAAAACCTGTTTAGTTGTGGTAGGCGGGTAGTAGATGGAAAATGTGGCAGGAGGATCACTGGAACGAAAGTTAACACCTTGATGGACATATGTTTGAGGAAATGGTTCCAAACGTTAGGATGTCATTTGTTAAATAGTCTGAAGGTATTTTTTTAAACATGAAACAATTAGCAAAGCATCTTATCTAAGATTTTTATTTGCTTTATAAAGGAAGAACAGGATTTTAACTACTGTGAGGAAGATGCCATGTCGTATCGCAAGTGTCATTAGAAATTTGGAGTGATGGGAGATCTCAGAGGGCCCATATAAAACCCTCCACATGCGAATAATTCATTTGTGACTGAAAAGGGCCGCAATGTGACTCAGCAGGAGTAAGATCCTGCAAAGAGTCAAGTATCAGATCTCAAGTAATCCTCATGCCTATAGCCAAAGTCTACACCCAGTCCTTGAAAGAATAGATAGGATCATCTTACTTCTTAGGACCAAAGCGTATGGTCTGCCAGGTGAACAAAGGCTTTTTGACCTGGCCAAGAAGACTCCGATTGCCACAAAATAGCCAAATGTGATCCATTTTAACTCAAACAAGTGCACTAAATGGGACAACTCGTAACCCCTCTAAGACCAAGAGAGAATACGTCAGTCCTCACCATTGTTTGGTCCCAGGAGGCTCTTAACTGTATTTGACATGCTTTGTCAGTGAAATGTTGGACATGAATTTTCAATTTCAAATGTGGTTAAACATAAGACTGTCCTCATGTTAGCTTTGTTATTCAGCAGATATGTAAAATCTAATAGCGACATTTAAATAGCAAATGTTAAATCTATAAAGTCTTAAACACATTTAGTCTTTATCATGATCACACTCACAGAGATTCAGTATTTTCATATATTTTTTTCAGATTCTAGTTCATCATTAGTTAGTTTACAGTGTAATCATTCAGAAAGTAGGTCTGATATTTAAATAGAAGGCCAACAGATATTTTATACAATAAATATGGGGGGTTTAATTTTACATTTTGTATGGATACCAGCGCATTGTGGCGTTACAGGAAATGCATTGGTAGATAGAGCAGCGAAAGAGGCTGTTGGAACTCCATCAATAGAACCAAACCAGCCGCATCTGCAGTCTGGATGAGGGGGGCGCACGTCCGGGGGTCTCCAAAGTCTCCAATAACACAACAAAAGTCGCTAGATTTGCAGCTAGTAGCTTTTTTTTATTTAAAATAATTACCTGCGTGGTCTGAAAACTTGCTAAATGTAGCCACAAAGTCGCTAAGTAGCCAACAGCGTGTTACCCAGTGTTATAGTCCCTCACTCCGCTTCCTCATTCACACCTCAGACTTACTTTCTTCTCTCTCAGGCGCCTCAGTACCACTTTTCCAGTTCTTCCTCTTTCAGGCTGAGAAAGAATTCAAAACTGAGTGGGCGAGGCATTTTCTCTCTTCAAGCAGAGCTTTTGGTTCACTTTGTCCACTTAGGTTTTCTTATTCTTCGGAACGGTTGTTAAAAACACGGAGCCAGAAATGCTGCGAAACGCGTCTAAAACCCACGTTTTGATCACATCCGTGTTTCTCTTCATCGTTATATTGTAAGTATAGTACCTGATCACCTTTTTTACGATACATCAACTATACCAGAATCTAATCGGAAACCATCCGATAAAAAAACAAAACATTTTCTGGATTTCAAGCGAGACTTACGTACATCAAATTGTGCATCAAATTGTTCCGACAACAGTCAGGACAAGTTGACAAAATAAGGGGCATGTTTAATTTTTTTTTTAAAATCTTCTAAAGAAAACGTTTATGAGTTAAAGGCGTTATTGTATTTCATATTTAGATAGCCCATTGTATTTCTGTCCCTCCGCCACCATCCGGTGCGGAAGTTTATCGGGCGAGGTTCAGCCCATCACAACCGCCTTAACGGCCTTATGTTTATGAGAATTCTTATGAAAAATGCCTACATGTAATTGTTTGGTGTGTACATTTTAATGACATGCAGAATTGCGGCTTTTATCTCATATTTAGGTCATTATTATAATTCTAATGCTTTCTTAGCCTACATGGCATGTGTCCATGTAACTAGCTAATCCACCATTGACGTGAGGTTTTACCAGTTTTTGTTTAGCGTAAATATTTGTTGTTGTTGTTGTGTTTTTTTTGTAGTTTCTCTTGCAAATGTTTGACCTCATATAGGAGACAACATGTAAAACATAGTTTTCGTTGGACTTTGATAGTGTTGTTTTTTTTTAAAGGGCATAAAATAGAAGGCATTGAACGTTTTTATTCATCCATCTACCTTCAATACTGCTTATTCATTTTAGGTTCACCTACAGGAGCCAATTAAACTTTGTATTCTAACTAATTTCTGAATTTCTAAAGACGAGTTTGAAAATCTAGGTGAAAAGACTGTGAGTTGGAAATAAGAAAACTAGAAAATCAGGTTTGGTTCTGCACTCTAGAGCTGAATAGCAGGAGGGTCACATTTATTGTCTCTCCTTTGTCTTGACACTATATATATATATACTTCCTGGTTTTATGGAAAGAGGCCCATTGGGTGTAAGGTGCTAAGGCATTCAAAGGTGAAAAGTATGACAAGGGGTTAGTTTTAGCTTTTCTTTTTCAATTAAACGGTTGAGTCTTGGACAAAGTGGACAGGAACACATTTGCTGATGAAACTGAAGGCCATGATTAATGTATCTGAATTCATTTAAATTCTGTGCTTAAAGCCACTTCTTGGTATAAAATGTTGCAATGTCGGCTGTGTTGGGGACTTCCCATAGCAATCACAGGCTATTGCTATGGTAATGGCCGCATTTTGCTACCCTTGGAGCTAGTTATGAATATGTGGGATCATAACGGCTGTAGGCTTCCCTTATTTGTGCCTGTACTGTTGTTGGTTCCCTTTGTACTGCTGATGAGAATACAGAGGTCACAATAGTCTAATGATTTTTGTACAAATACTTAACACTGTCCAGTGTGTGGGTTGTTGAAGCTTTTCCCTTGTGCTTCTTTGCTGTACATGTACAACAGTTGTGTGCTCTTGGATGTGAGATCAGTTGCCATATGGTCTTCCTCACGCCCTGACGTAAAAGTATTATCTTTGGGTCAACATGTCCCTGGCGTTTTGTTGTTTGTTTAAAAAAAAAACTCTTTAGAGATCTGTGTTGAAAAAAACCTGCTGTCTGTGGGCACTGAAAACACCTCAGAAAGATGTCTAAAGCAGCATTTGGTGTTACTTTATTTCAGATCGAAGAACCTAAACACAGCTTGCCAAAATTTGACTTGTAAAATCCACATTGTTTTTAATAAGTGCCGTAAACAAAGTAGACATGAGTGTTCGACACAAACAGAAATTCTTTATATGAGAGAAAGAAATCCAAAATAGCTCAATTTTAGGGATTATCTATTCGAGAAACTCACTCAAATAGAAATTCTGCTCAGATGTGAAAGGCAGCTGTAAACTACTCTGAGCCATTGATCCTTATGTTTAGCAAACACCATGCTGCTGATTTAATGCTGAAAGCTTAAGTGTGGAGAGAAGGCAGGTTTGAATGGAAGTGAGGAAATATGAGAGCATGGCAGTTTGCTCCACCTGTCCGCTCTTTAATTGTAAATATGTGTTAAAGATGGGGTATTTGGCAAATTTCTTTATGAGATATTTACATAGCACACTGGGTACCTACCTCTTTAATAAACAGAATGATTGGCAGCAAGTGTGTCCCCTAAATTTAGCTGGCTGTAAATCTGTATAAACGTGCTTTTCTTACAGTGTGCTTGATTTGAGATGGCCTTTTCTATGGTAAAACACTGGTCTTTTTGGTTATGTCTTTGACTATACATGTCATTTTTCAAATACCTACACACATATATATATATATAGATAATTCATTTGAGTCAGGTGTGCTGGAGCAGGGAAACTTGGAGACATGCGGGGCAGTGTGCCTTGAGAACCCAGTTTGGGAAACACTGCTCAAGTTAAAGGGGATTAATATGTGTATGATTAGCTTTCCCATTGTGCACCTTTTGCTACATCATGCGCTGAAGTTAAGAAAATAACAAATTTTCATGTAAAGTCTCTCTGAACATAATCTTTATGCATATATATATATAATGAAATGCTGTTTGGATGTCTTTGTCTTTTTATAGCATCATCTATTTCTACATGAAAGCTTCCCCCCCTCTCAGGTAAGTGTAACTAGTTTCTTTCTTCAGACTTTGAATTTAATGCAACATACACATGTTAGTCAATATATAATTGTATTGATTAAACTGAATCTAAACGGATTCTGTTACAGCCAGATACTTCAAATGTCCTGATACAGTGCCATTTATTCCATCTTGTCAGTAAATTTGTTTTCGTCTGTTTTTGTAAAGACTCCCTGTACTAGATTTTGGCCCAAATGAAGATGCTGACTTTATAAATGAGAAGATTATAAAAACACAGGATTGCCCGAAGCAAAGCGCCTGGAGCATTGGAGATCTGACAATGAAGCATGGGTGAGAGTTCATGTTTCTGTTGGTTACAGAGGATGTACAGCACAAATCTCCTCTTTTAATGTTCTCAGCCCTCCAAAATTAAAATTCTTTTTACCTGCAAGGACAGCAGCAGAGCCTTTACAATCTCCACCATACTCTGACCAGACTCTGCTGCTTCCTCTCTTTTTATTGAGGACCGTTCCCTAAGTTACATGGGCGTGCAGCCTCTAAGGGAGGAGAGCACACAGGCTGCACGCAGGTGTAGCTTAATATTACATTATATCCAACATTATATCAAAGTTCCTTATCATGGTACAGTCAGGCGTGCCGATGAGTGAGAACCGAGGAACTTGGCCTTCTCGTGCTTCTGCTCTCAACTGCTGTTTTGCTGCCGACGCCACATCTGGGTATTCAAATCTGCTTACACAAGCACATTTGTTATTCATGCCCACACAATAAAAGTTCATAATGTTCTGATACAAAGAGGTTTTAGAATGGTAGATACAAAAAGAAGACGGAGTACAGGCGTCCTCCATTTTCTATGATAACCTATGTACAGTGTTTCCAACAGAAACCACACTCCTAAATTAAGTGCTGGTATATTCCATAGTATGAGAATAAGAAATATTTTAAATTTCCACATTTTAGCTTACCATCAAATATCCATTTTGACTTTATTTACTTTGATACACTTTCAGTTTGAGACATTGCAGTTTTTTCTCCTGTGATCTGGTCCTTTTTTTTTGTTTTAATGGTATTAGAATGTCATCACCATTTAGTCTCCTTCTGCCTGACATTTTGCTCTCCCTCTCCAGATTAGAGTATGCCCAGCCAAGCACCCAGAAAGGGTAAGCTAAGCAAAAACGAAAAGAAGGACATTGTCCCTAACACCATTGAGTGTACTGCATGTATGTAGAATATATTTTGGACTTTTATTCTACAGACGGACTGATGTGAACGCTGTGACAAACTGGAATGCCCCTCTGGTTTGGGAAGGAACCTTTGACCCAGTGGTTATGGATGAGATCTACATGAAAATGAACCCCCGAATCGCTGTTGTGGTTTTTGCTGTTGGCAAGTATGTAAATGAGATGTTCCCAAGGGTTTTTGCATTTTGTGACAGAATGTCAGGTTTCACTCGACTCTGATACTTTCTTCATGTAACTGCTAGGCATGTATTGTAATATTTGCCTTTTTAACCAAGTGATCATGTGTCTGGTCTGTTTCATTCCATCTGGATAGATACACCCGCTTTGTGAAAGGCTTCGTAGAGTCAGGAGAAAAGCACTTCCTTGTTGGTTTTAAGGTTACTTACTATATCTTTACAGACGATAAAGAATCCGTTCCAAAGGTGAGTTTCCTTTTCTTTCCCACATAACTGTGCTGTACTATGTATTCATGTTCTCAGTAGTGAGGTTGATGCCAGTTAGCAAGACCAATAAGCCAGTGTGCAAAACTGATTTAAAGAAAAGTCATGTGAAGTTCATGTTAATACATTTAGCATATGCTTTTATGCAAAGCAACTTAAAATGCAGACTCAGAGACACTCCAATTATTTGCTGTGAGTATCACAATGGTGACTTGTTTCTAGATGAGTGATGACTAGTCAAAAAGCTTTGATGCAAATGTCATGTTTTCTATGTAAATTCAGTTATTTCCAAACAGTGTTTTCTGCCAGAGAATGTATAGTCCCACTGCACAGAGGCTGCAAATAAATACAGAATTTCATGTAGTTAACTGCAATTGTGTCATTGGTTCCTTTTTATTTTTCTTTGATTTCTCAGCTTGACCTGGGTAAAAACAGGAACATTTCATTCCTCCCTGTACCAAGCGCCAAGCGCTGGCAGGAAGTCGTTCTTGGCAGGATGAAATGGGCCACTCTCACCATTGACAAACAGGTAGACATTTAAATTCTCAAAAAATGTTTTTTGTTCTTTTTTAAAGGTGTCAAAAGGTGTTGTTTGATGATTTAAAGACATACATGTACAAATAAATTAGCAAAAAAATGGACAAACTTACTTAACTCCCAGATCTGTGATGTGACAGGACATTTAAATGAGTCGATTAATTTCTTTCCGTTTCTTTCGTTTAACCCTCTGTCATGTCTCTCCCGGCTTCAGATCCGTAATGAGGCAGACTATCTTTTCATGATGGACATAGACAGTGTCTTCCACAACCGCTTTGGGGCAGAGTCTCTCAGTCGGCTGTCTGCTGTACTTCATCGTGGCTACTATAAGGTTTTGCCCTTTTTCAGCATTTTCAAATCAAGTCTTTTAATTATATGACATTACATAATCATTTTGACATTGTTATACTGCTCAATTGAACAAAGCCATTTATTTATACTATTAAGTCATTTTAATGAGTCATTTAATTTATTTCTAATCTCAGCATCATCGTTCACAGACGAATGCCACAGGCTTGTTATTTTCTGTTTTCTTCCCAGGCTCCCAGGGAGGAATTCCCTTATGAGCGTCGGTCTCAGTCAAAGGCCTACATCCCGGCTGGCGCAGGAGACTACTATTACACTGCAGCAGTGTGGGGTGGATACCTGGAGGATATGTACAAGCTCGTCAAGTAACTAAAACAAGATGTTATATTAAATGTATTGAGGCTATATTTGAATATATCTAGGCTGAGCTTGCTGCTCAATCAGATAACGTCCCTTCAATGCTCTGAAATTACCAGTACTATTAAAGTGTTCAATGAGTTTATATCTAACCACAAAAAAGTGGCTTATCTGAGATTTCAATCTGTGGTTGTTTTAACAGATACTGCTATGAGCAGTCGGAGGAAGATGCCAAGAACAACATAGAAGCTGTTTGGCAGGAAGAGAGTCATTTGAACAAGTAAAACGTCATCCTGTTTATCATAAAACATCGGACTATCACCTCCCATTAATGTAATAGTCACCTCTTACATGTTGCAATTAACCTCTCTGTCTTGCAGATACCTGCTATACAACAAGCCAACCAAGGTGCTGTCTCCAGAGTATCTATGGTCGGATTACGATCAGGTGCCATCTGACATTAAAGTTGTCAGGATCTCTCAGTTGATCAAGAATTATGCAGAAGTGCGTCCCAATGGTGGACATAGATGAGGTTTAGTATCTTTTGGAAACATTGATGTGAAACATAAGTAGAAAGACACCTTTTTTTGGCCTTCCTCTATTTGCTTAAGGTGTTTTTTTGGTTTGTGTGTTTGTTTTGGGAGGGGTGAATTGTTGGTATTAAAATTAGGCTTTACATATTTTTCATATTGTATTGCACTTTGTGAATCTAACTGTGTGGATATTATTTTCCAAGTAAAGATGTAAAGTAAATTGAAAGACTGTACATAATTTATGTTGTCATATGTTGACAGTTTTGTAAAGATATCTTATTAACAACCATTCCTGAGAATGTTGAAATGTTCTGTAAATATATAAAATCTTTACATGACTTGAAAACATCCATTGATAACATAAATTAAATGATGGGACGAATGCATGTTGCATTCAGGTGCAGGCCATCTCTCTTCATTTCACAGATAAAACAGATAAAACATTCATTCTCAACTCTTAGCAAACACTGTTCATGGTTACAAAATCTGCCGCTGGCCTTGGATGCATTGCTGTGTATGGTGTTGGAAAACCAAATGATCTTCTATTTTTATAACAACTTATAAAGATAATGCATGCAGCAAAGTCTCTACAATCAAATCCCATGTTTTATGCATTTTTTTAATCTGAGTATATTAACTGATATTATCACTTTCCATAAAATATCTGTTTAGATCAGTGGGAACTTTGGCCCATCATTTTTGGACCAACTATCTAGCCTAATACAGAATATACCACAATAACTTTCAGGAGTACAAACAAGTCTCCATATTACAGAATCACAATAAACTGAATACAAGAATATTTAATGATCCTGTCAATGCCCAATTACTCTGTGTTACATTATGTCTTGATATTGCAAACATCCTTTTTTACTCAAATCGCCATCCTGATGGCAACAGTGGGTTTTTGAGGTAAAACAAAAATTGCTGGGAAAGCAGCTTATTGACCAACAAAACTAATTGGTGAAAACCTTTTCTGTTCATATAGGTCAAGGATAATTGTTTTTTCCTTTGAGTTTAAGTTCAATTCCATTATTTCTGTGATTCTTTTTAACTGTTGGTGTCATCTTTCCCCTTTTTGTGGACTGTTGTGGATATTTCCGTGTGTATGGGGGTCGTCTTGAAATTCTACAGCTTCCTCACCCACATTTCAAAAACATGCAAGCGGGGTTAGGTGTCAGTTCTAAACAGGAGTTTAGTTCCCTTTCAGTGGCATGAGCTGTCTGTTGCTTTGACTGACCCCTTTGTGGGTGAGAGCTTTGGAGATTGTATTTTTCTGACATGTTTTTTAAAGAAACGATGCCCCACTGAGGACTGCAGGTGTCAGAATGTGTGTATTTAAATGGTTTTAATCAGGGAGTTGAAACACTGGATGTACATGTACTGGAAATGTTTGTACTAAATTATTTCATGGGCTTGGTTATTACTTGGCTTATTGTTTGATACCCATTTTTTTAGTAGATATTTTTTCTTTATTGCTGTAATGCAACTGTGACAATGATTTTACCTTCTCTTATCATGTTTTGGATTGTACTCTTGACCGTGAGATATAATAAAACATTTGGCTGTCGGTTGTAATTCCAGTGAATCAGAATCAGAATTAGGTTTATTGCCAAGTAGGTTTTCACATACAAGGAATTTGCTTTGGTGAAAACACCAAGGCAGCCATTTTCGGCGCCAAGGCAAATCTTCAGAACCAAAAGAATACATTGGGAAAGCAGTTGCGGGAAGAGGAAAAAAAAGGCCCAGTGCCAAGCCCCCTACAGGGGACGTAACAGTGATTTAAAAAACACCTCGTACACTGAAGCACAGATACAGTCAAAACACAACATCAAGGACACATAGGGAGGGAGGGATGGGGGGGGTTGGAAGGAAGGGGAAAGGTAACAGCGAGGCAGTGAGTCCAAGGGATGCATGAAGTCTGTACTTGTGTGTGTGTAAGTGTAAGCAAGCTGGAGTCCACATCCACAGGCAGGATGGAATTTGTCCTTGTGATGCCCAAACTCCTGCTTGGGAGGAGGGAGGGGGGGTGGGGTGGGCAAAGCGTCCGTCTGCTGTTTCATCCAGGGCAAAGTTGCAGAGCAGCAGCTGCAAGGCCGCTCTCGGGAGGCCAGATTGAGATAAGACAGATAGCTTTGTTCCAGACAGAGCGTGTTTTGTCTGCCTTAAGTCCTCAGCAGGTCTCTCAATGGCGATCCAATTCAGCCGAATTGTGTTAATTTCCATCCATCCGAACCACCACCTTCTCCAAGGTGTTCCCCATCACCCTCATGCTGTCACACATCGTCCCCATTTTGCTCCTATGAGCCTCCTGACTGCTCCACTGAGTCTCCAGTTTGCTCACCAGAGCATCATGTTTGCGAGACAACTCGCACAAGGTTTGAGTCAGAGTGTTGATGGCCCGGTAAACCGGCTCGAGAGGCAGCCCGCCACCAGTAGCCCTCAGCCTCCGAATTTCTCGAAAAACTAGGTATCCACCAACTCCAATCAGCAGGAACCCGGTTATCATGAATCCAAATAGGTATAGGTCCTCGACGTCCTCCCAGAGAGAACTGAGAGGCATAAAACCCTCCAGCTCTTCCAGGCATCCATCGTGTAACCCGCAGGATGAGTCCCAGCTGGACAAGTTGCAGCCCCTGCAGCTTGTCTTTGGGTTGAAATTGGGAGTGGAATTTGTGGAACAAGTACAGTGTTTTGAAAATCCAGATCCATTTGAAGATATTAGCAATGCAACACGAGAAGGGAAGCGAGGGAGGACTCGACAGTTTAATCATTAACACATTCACATGTTTCGGCACAATGAGAGGTTTTCGATAAACAACCTAACCAAGAGCCAATATAATACAAAAACACAAATTTGTATTTGTGTTTTTATTGAGAATATTGGGGGGATTTCTTTTTGGTTAGCAACTCAATATTTTCATACAAACTTGTAAATAAAACTTAAGATCTAAAAGTAGGTCAAAGTTTGAAAACAAGTAAAGCAGAGGTACCTGTTCTCAAAAAAAATATTTAACTCTCTGTGGAGAGCATATTCAGCTGAGTTTGCTCAGGGTAACCTTTTATTTTTATTTTTTTTAAACGTGTTTTGGAGGTTTCATGTCCTTATTGTCTAAAGATATATAAAAAATCAGGCTGTAATCAACCTTAAAAAGAACCTTTAAAGGATTTGGCAAGTACCAGGATGACGTGTATGTTAGTCTTTAACAGGTTGTCAGCAGGTGATATCCTGATTATAGCAGGATGTGAGCTGAGCAAGCAGTGGAAACAAATAGTTTTAGACCCTCCAACTGTACTCCACACACACTGGTTGCATTGTGACTCAGATGTGCAGTTCTGGGACTTTGCATGGAGAATCATTAATGAAGGTTATAAACTGAATTACAAATAAAGCATTCATTTACAAAACTGATAAATGATTAAATGCCAAACAATTTAATATTCTTCACTGATTTAATCCTATAATATAACTTCTCTGTTTTAAAAAGATCATTTATTTACTTTACCACATATCTCATCATTTTAGTGACCTGTCTAACCACTTTGGTTTCTCTTAATTTTTCAATTCCCTTTAAAAATTCTAATTGTTGGATTGGATTCTAGCACATTATTTTTTCCGCTTATTCATTATGTTGAAGACATCTAACTCTGACTGGTTCTTTAGAGTGGAAAATGAGTCACATGACATTGTCGTCAGAAGGCTTAAAATGAACATCTCAGTTCTGGCAATTCAAATCCAACTCCTTTATGTGCAGCTCCTCTATTTCTTATCAGACATTGTAATGAGGGCCCTGATAAAAGAGCATTTATATACTGAGATGGGAGAAAAGCTTTAAAACTGGATGCATTTACAACCTTAGTCAACCTTAGTTTTCTTAAAATTTAGACTACTTGGTAGTTACTAGAACTTGAAAAGACTGATCCTGACAAACAGAGTCAGGACAGAAACATTTCCTCTTTTTGTCCAATTTTGTCTTCTTTTTTCTAAGGCCATGATAGAAAGTCATTTCAGCCTTTACACTATGTAATTTATGTTGAATTTGTGCTGGTTTATCATCCTGAATCTATCCATGTTTCTTGTGTGATTTGAACACAGATGTGACCACAGATGTGTATTTTGTGTTTCCAAGTCATTTGGATATACAAAATGGCTATGCTATAATTGAGGAAATAACATTTAAAAAAACCTAAAATTCAAGCACGGAAGATCTCACTTATTCCTCACAGAAAATAGTTTTACTCGTTGAATTATAGAAGTAACGGGCCATAATTCCCTAAAACTAGTAAATTAAAATGTGTATTTGTATCAAAGTACGAATACATTTTGCACAACTCATGTGCTGCAATTCCATATGGGTATTAAATGAATGACTAGGGGCTCGAGCCTGGTGTACTAACGGCGAGGGGGTCAGCAATAGAGACAAAAGCTGGCCCCTACCTCTGTGTGACACAATATAATCACTGGTTCACTTGCTTTTATCCCTGTGAGCGATTGTATCCCCTCAGGCAGGAGTGCACACTCACCCAGCGCAACTCTTAAAAACTTCCTCCAACTTCCAAACAAAAATAACAGTGTTTTGGATCCTCAATACTCTATTGGTTTGCAGTTTAACTGACTGTAATACCTAATAACACCAGCAGAGGTACCCATATCCTGACGGATGACTATTTGCGACAGTGTCGTAAATCACTAATGTTGTGGTTGGAAATTTGACCACTCGTCCTCTGAGCTGACAGCTTCTAGTCGTCCTTCAGTCAACTCAGAAAGACTGCAGCTCATAGCTAAAGCAGAAATACCCGAAACATTCAATCATGGCCGGGACTGTTGCGCGTAAAGCCATCGACCATCTTAAGAGCAAAGAGTTCAGGGATTATTTGACGAGGTGTGTATTAGAAGCTACTTGGTTTCTTTGCTAGCACAAATGCTAATGTAGCAAATTTAAGCAAAAGTAGAGCAACGCCTGGTAAATATTCAACAGGTTGTGTTAACGTATCATTCTTAACTAACATTAAATCCAAACAAACACGACTAATTTGTGTCTTTTGTAAGTGTTCACATTTATAAGAGCTTGCTTTAGGCAGCAGGGTCTCAAGGACGATCATGCTGCATGCACAGTTTACGTCGCCCTCCAGTTTGGGAATTATTTTTCGTTTATTTGTATTTATACTCGAAAGGGTAAAGGGACCGTAAATAACGTGTTGTCTTTTTTAAAATGTATGTCTCGTTGCCATGAGGTGCCCAAAAAATGTCCCGTCCCCTGTCAGTAATTCCCGTGTGTCCTAAATCAGCAGGGAAGTGGGTCTTGGTTTGAAATTTTGACCACATTTTAACTGAGACCTATTTCCAACAACGGGAAAAAAACATGTATTTTTTCAACTGCTGTCAAGGAATTAATTAGTGAACGTGTAAAAAATGCTCTGGTAGAGTAATTTCTTACCACAGACTATCTGCTTTTCTTAGATTTAGAGTAAAGGTGAAATTTGGGCTAAATCATGCAAGCAGCTATCTTTGTTTGCACTTGTCCCTCACACACAACCCGATTATCTCTGCTGTATCTCTGAGAAACTCTGTGATCAATGCTTTTTCAGAACAGTATGCATTTCTGTTGTAATTAATGAATATCCTTGTATCGATATGCCCATGGACTAATTTATATACATTAACTCAGACTGTGTTTTCCTCTCTTTTATGTGAAATGCTAAATGTCCACTAGCACGGTAAGTCCTTGTTTTTTTTCTCAGTTATATTTATATAAATATTTCTCATCATATTTGCTGCTTTGTGGGTTTCATTGCACTTAACTATGATGGCTGTTAACATTCTACTTACTTTGAAATATGACACTGCGTTAGTTTTTACTTTCACTTGTTAATTTTTGGGGCATCATCAAATTGATTTGAGCATTTCTTCCTTCTGGCAAAAGCTTATGACATTCTCCCTTTTGCAGCATTTCTGGGGCCCTGTAGCAAACTGGGGTCTCCCTATAGCTGCCATCACAGATATGAAGAAGAGCCCAGAAATTATCAGTGGCAGAATGACCTTCGGTGAGAAGCACAGGGACATTCATTGTTGATTTAAGATTTTGACTTTTTTTTTTCTTTGTGTTGGCTTAAATAAATCCCTTTTTATGGCACATTTTGAATTATAGACTGCCATTTTGGTCAAGCAGAAGTCTGTACTGTCTATAAGATGAGCACAGCAGTATCAGTGGGGCCTGATTTAAAAAAGAAAAAAAAAAGCTTGTTCTGACCTGTAATCTGTCCCATTTAAAGCCATATGAGCATATAACTGATGATAACTTCTGATAATGGGGAGAGTGACAATGACACATGATGTGTTGTAGTAACATGCAAGGATTTAAGTCCATGTCCATAACTACCCTGCTTATGAACTAACACTTGTATGTTTTGTACCTTTCGTTTCAGCATTGTGCTGCTATTCACTACTCTTTATGAGGTTTGCTTACAAGGTTCAGCCACGTAACTGGCTCCTGTTTGCCTGCCATTTGACCAACGAGACAGCACAACTAATTCAAGCAAGTCGTCTCATCAAATTCAAGTGCGTAATAATCTCTTCTGTTTTGTTGTCACTGTAAACTGGTGTATTTTTCCATGAAGTGCAGTGTGAAAAAAAATCTTCATCCAAATTCTCCAAAAAAATGTGTCTTTAAATCATAGTGTACATTGTCAATCACTTGTTCAAATAGGCGTCAAATCATGGATTGAATGTTATTTACTGTGACGTGAATTATAAGAAAGTAAGATCCATTGAAGTAGTTGGAGTAAGCATAGTTTTTTGTGTTTTGTTTCTCTGTTTCAGTATGGAGAAGAAGATAGGATCTTAGTGGCAAACCGAAGCAGATACAGAGCAACGGCAGACTGTTTTCTTCAAAACACCCTTTTATTCAATCAGTGAAACTGCTAGACTTAGGCCACTTTGTAATCTTATGTTAGCTTGATCGATTACTACTGACAAGTTACTTTATCACAGCAATCAATCAAGTGGTTGCTTTTCTTCAAGAACTAAGGTCAAAAACTTGGATTTCCTTTAGAGTTAAGGCAAACTGTTGTGATATATTTTAGGTTTTTGCAATGTTTGAAATTACATGCTAAGATGTGACGGAATGTACAAAAGCATAACCAACCAGACCATTGAAAATTGCACAAAGGCCAGTGATAGTTGCAAATCTATCAGCAGGCGTTATTTGTAAATGATGTTATCACAATGTATCCTGCTTACAGACTGATTCTTTTTAGAGGACTATGGCAAAGGTTGCATCTGTGTCAGCATAAAACCAGCTCAACATATTTTCATCATCTTTTTCTTAAACATTTAAGACACAGCTTATCTGCTGAATCTGAAAGCAAGATATTGTCCTACAAAATGTATATATAGCTGTGTATTATGTGAGATTGAACCTCTAGCTGGGCATAATTTCAGTAGTTATAAAATAATATTGATTCTCAAAAACATGTTGTAATCGGATTAATTTTCACTTCTTCTAATGTTGCAAAAACTACATACAGTGGCACATTCAAAATGTAGGAGGACTGTGTAATGTGATAATTAATGATGATTAATTTAACTGTCCCTGACCAGTGTCTGGCTTCTTCAGGTTTGTTTAAATAAACTTGACAGGATAAACAACATTGTTTTCAATTATGGATGCAAATTTATGGTTGCATGGACTACACGCATACATGTATTGTTTTGGCTCAGAGGTCATGATAATCAGTTAATAGTTTGGAATGACAGTTTGTGAATGACATGTAAGAACCGTGTTTTCATATTTTAGTATTGATGCCTAACGGACTATTCAAAAATTTATATGGTTAGTCATAGCAGATTTAAAAGACCAAATTGAAATATTATAGTATAAATCATAAAAGATAAAGGAGGTGCATGTTGCTTTTTAGGTACGTTCACCTTTAGATAACTTGCCATCTCTCCTAAGCATAATCACTCTTTCTTACCGCACAGTTTTACCAGGTTTTCATTTTTTTAACTAGACATTACTTCAGGTATATATTAATTATGTTTGTTAAAAGGAGACAGTCGTGCGATACTTTAAGGATTCCTCCAGGGGGCGGTAGGGCGGTAAAAAGGAGCAGGCTGCCGAGCCATATGACAGAAGAAAACAAACATGGCGTCTCTCAACAGCGATGAGTGGAGGGCTATCTGCGACAAATTCACCAACGCCCTAAGGCTAACCGACACCGAATCACGAAATGACCCAGAAAACGACCCGTTCCGTTCAAAGTACAACGCCAGAGAGCTCCTCAGAGAGATTTACTGTTCCCTCAAGAGCTTCGAAGGTGGCGACGGAGAAGAGGAGACGGGCCCCGACAGCAGCAACCAACCGCCGCCAGAGCAGCCTGTGGACGGCCAGCGGGAGGATGCGTTCACGCAAGGCTTTTGCGGGGACTCTCCAGAGGGAATGCGGGCAGCCAAACTTGGGGCGGTGGAGTATTACCTGGGCGTCAACCATGTCGAAACAGAAGAGTTGTCAGCCGGCCAGGAGCATTTAATGAATTGCATGAAGCTGTTGGACAGATGCAGAGTGTCGTCGGAGAATGTGTCGCTGGGGATCCACGTCAGGGTAACTGATGCTGTTGGAAATAATGCGAAGCTAACCTGATGTTAGCTTTTTGCTAGATGACTATCAGCCCTTATGCAAACAGGCCTTGAATTGTCTTTTGATCGCTGCCTTTTGTGGTATTAGTACTACTACAGTGTCCACAAAATGGTCTTTGTCAACCCCTAAAGGTTGAATGACTCTTTGGCTAAAGTGGGAATTTAGTTCTGTACATGACAAACAGTCTTTTGTAGTGCGACATCAGCTGATGGTGGTCATGTGTTGGCTCGGTGTGCTTTCAGAACCAGCTGGGCATTCTTTGGGCTGGCAGGGATGAGACGGAAACCGCCCAGGGCTTCCTTGAAACGGCAGAATCCATCTACCAACAGTACATGAAAGAGGTACGTGTGTTTTCTCCGATACTTTTTTGCATTTGGAGATGCACATTTATTGACCTTTTTTTAGACACTATCTAAATACCCTGGGAACATGGTAAAACAGATTTGTTTCATGGTGGGCAAACGGTCATCTTGATAATGACCCTGCTTCCAAGACATCATAGTCAGTGTTGGTGTTTTCATGAGTGTCAAAATAGAAGGAGCCCTTCCAGCTGGTATGAGGAACCTTTTAGTTTCTTATTCATCTTCCACAGGATGGTACTCCCCCTACTGATATGACAGAATATTTTAGTGCTGAGGAGAGCATGTTGACACATCAGGAAAGGACTAAGAAGTAAGTGTTGATCTTTAACATCCACACAAATGACATTCAGAAATTTGCCGAAATACAGTTTGATTTTTTTCTTTCTCTTTCTACTAGGTTTGAGTTAGCATATACCCATACTATGTACTATCTTGCTCAAGTTTATCAAAACCTTGGTGAGTATATGATTACAGCAAAGTGTTAAGTATTCTTTACCATAAATTATCAATGATAATTCTGTCTGAAAGAATCTGTGACTCTGTAATAAATTCCGATGCAATTGTCTTGTAGCGATAACCTGAAGGTTTCGGGATTGTTTTATTTAAAGAAAATGCTATCAAATGTATCTTTCAGGTCAAACTGAGCGTGCTGCCACCTACTGCCACAGCACCCTGCAGAGACAGTTGCAGTTAAATCAGTTCAACCCGATGGAGTGGGCACTAAATGCAGCCACTCTATCTCAGTATTACATCACAAAGGTAGGACATGCATCGATTTAATATAAAAACAAACGTTTCATGGATGTTAATGATTTTTTATGTTAAAAGTTATTCCTTTTTTTTTTTTTAGATTTCTTTTATTTATGATTGTGTTTGTGTTTTTTAGGGGAGATACATGGAGGGCAGACATTGCCTTGCAGCAGCTACAGTAATATCAGGTCTGGCAGGAGATGCTCCATCTGAGGCAGCGGCTCAAGAAAGTAAACATCTTTGTGTTTCCCTCCTTTGCCCTGTTTTCCAATTCAAATGTACACATACCACAAAATAACAAAGCTCAGTTCTTTGTTTATCTTTATCTTTTTGGCTCATTGCTGCTTCCTTTTCATGTTGTGTCCCACTGACTTTTGGTCCACAACTATTATCATTCCTCCTTTTTGCCACTGTGTTACACCATCTTCTCCACCTTTCTGATTCAGGTGACAGAGAGAGAGAGCGCAGGGAGCATCTCAGACAGAAGAGAGCAGAGATTGCTAGGTGTTGGATAAAATACTGTCTCAATCTGATGCAGGATGCCAAGAAGCTTCTAGAGGTACTGCATGGAGCTTTTATTATAGCTCTGCTCTCACCTGAGTAATGGTGACACAGGCTACAAAAAGAGAAAAGAAAAGGCAATAAAAACTGAAATGAACTCTTAAGGACAATGTTTTCATTTTGGCGTTTTAAGTTCTTTTTCATAATATGATGAAAAATAACTTAGGTTATGTTAGATAACCAAAGTTTTTTTTTTCTCACGTATGGCTACCTCTACATTTCAATGCTCTCTTTGGGTTCTATCAGGACAACATTGGTGAACTGGATACTGATCGTCAAGACGAGCTGAAGAGAGAGAGAAGACGACAGGAGGAGGAGGAAGAGAAAGGCAGGAAGACCACTCTGCTGTTTGGCTCTGAGGACACTTTTGACTCCATCACTAGTGTGGAAGAAAAGGTGTGGACACCATCTTTCTTATTAACAGTGCCGGTATTAATCGGGTTAATGGTCAGGTCAGTTATTTTACATATTGTGTAAGTGTCAGTTACATATCGTAATTAGATAAGATGGAACTAAATTCTTTCCTAAGGATGTCATTAATCCCAATAGGTCCTTGATAAACTAAAATATGTTTAGCTTTAGCTATCATGAATATTTCCATGCATTTTTTTAAAATTTCAATTCCTGTGTCCAAATATTTGAGCTCAGTTGAAGGGAATTCTGTCTTTTTCAAAGAAGTTTACTGCTTTTGTTCAAATTTTAGAGATGTTAAAAGAGTTGGGTTGTGTCTCTCTTTTGCCAACTTTGTGAGTTTCCAATTTAATCAGTTTTTACACATTTATTATTCAGGATGTTTTGAGCATATCAGAAATACTTACTCCATAGCGATGATGTTCTTAATCAGGACAGGATCAAACCCCCTCACTCGTATTTCTGCTCTGTAGCTCCACTTACGATGAAATGAGATTGCTCAGCTCTAAACCTCCTGTGCAGGGTCAGATAAAACCGGTAAAACCAATCAGAGTTCTGGATCTTTGCTTAGAAATGAACAGAAATGAAAAACAGCATTTCTGCTACAGACACATCCCCTGAGTTTGCTGCTATTTAGAAAATGTAATTTATTTCCATCTGGAAATGGTTAAAAATTGATAAATAAATCCAAGTGGAAACTGCCTGTGTGGTGTCACATCAGGCCAAACTTCAAATGGGCAGCTACAGACGTTGGAGTCAGTTAAGCTTTGTAGACTGAAGGGCAAAACAGTGTTGTTACACAGGTTATACGCCAAAATCTGGCATCCCAATTTTACCGTCTTTGGACGCACTTTGAAAGTTTTATATTTTTGAGGGCTCATTTCTGCCTGTCTGGTCTTTGATCATTATGATAAAACTGCTTCAAATGAATTACAATGTTTAGAGGATTTTTTAATAAAGAGAGTAAATTGTGCAACAACGTGTCACTCAAGCTCAACAGAAAAGGAAGTACAATGTATTTTTGTTATTTAAGACACATGATACCATTTTATAACGGCTTTGAGTTGCCTTTTAAAAAAAAAAAGTTTTAAGAATACACTTAAAACAATGCAACTGGAGCTAAAATGGCCTGCTTGTTAGAGGGCGCCACTCTGCATTAAAACTCTGACCCTTGTGCTTTACAGGTGCTGTGTTTGATTCCTTTGGACTTCACTGAGGCTAGGGCTGTTTTTCTGGTTGGACAGAATTATGTTACCCAGGTATGTAAAAAAGAACATGCTAATGCACAGAAATTCAGACCATTCTACTAAAGCTTATATCTGATATCTGACATTTGGATTTTGTATTATATCCAAAACTGCCATATGCAGTTTCAGCTCTACTATTATATATTAAAGCAATCCTAAAATGTGTGCTGATAAAAGAGCATCATGCGGTTTCTTTGTGAGGTCACTGCAACTATGTTGTGCTCAGGCACAATATAGTTGCTCAGTTTCTTAAAAGCTATTTTCACTCTTTGCAAAAAGCTATACCATATGCACACGTGTATACGGCTGCACAAATCAAAAGTGTCTTATTATTACTGGTTCCAAGGCAAAGGAGTACTTCCAGATGGATGGATACGTGACGGACCACATAGAGATATTGCAGGACCACAGTGCTCTGTTCCAGGGTCTGGCTTTCTTTGAGGAAGACCTGGAGAGACGCTGCAAAATGCACAAGAGACGAGTTGACATGTTGGAGCCAATCTGCAATGGTACTAAGCTCTGGAGCAGCAATTTGATGTTTTTTGTCAGTTTTACATCTTGAATAATTCTAATTAAATTACAATTTGATTTGATATTTTCCCCATTTAATATTTTTAATGTTCTTTTTTAATATATAGACTTGAATTCGCAGTACTACCTGTTGATCCGCAGACAGCTGATGTTTGAGTTGGCTGAGATCTACAATGAAATGATGGACTTAAAGTTGACGCTGGCCAATAGTCAAACAGACTCCCAGTCTCTAGATAACCACACCATTAAAAAATGTAACCATCTCTGCGCTGCCTCTGCCAAGTAAGTGCCCATTTACACTTCAAGCATCAGCGTGTCTGTGTGCATCTAAGTTTTTCACGCCCAAGTGATTTCGATCCTCTCCAGGCACTACCAGATGTTCCTCGACTCAATGTGTTCTCCAGACGGGAAGTCTCCCGAGCACCTAGAGGAGGAGGTGCTCAGACCAGCTCTGGTGGCTCGATTCAGAGTGGCTCGACTGCACAGCAAACTGATCAGTTCTTTGCCCACAGTTCAGCTGGACAACCTAAACAAATCTCTGGAAAACTACAAGTAAGATGCCACATGTATTATTAATTTCAACTTTAAAGTCTTAATACTTGTGCCATACAAGTGTCATACAAGAGAGAGCCAGTCAAAAGCGATCAAGATTACTGTGGCTGTGTAAGACATCCAGGTGTCTGCTGTGGTGTTTATGGGGCTGGTCAGTAATATGGATGTTGTTGCTCAGGTATGTGGTCCAGTATTGCGAGACCCATCCGGAGGCAGCAGCAGCCGCGGAGACAGAGCTGGAGCTGAGTAAAGAGATGGTTGGCCTCCTCCCTCTCAAAATCAACCGCATCAAGGCAAGAATGGCTGCAAACAACTGAAAGAAGCCGCGTCGCAGACTGACAGATTGATTAACAATCCCCGTTCATTGTGTCAAATGTGCTCATCTAAACTGACCCCTTTTCAGACAACGCACACTGGACAGTTTAAGAAAGTGGGAGATCAGAACCGTATAGTCCTTTTTTTCTCTGTCCTGTGAGCATGCTGCTTTCACATGACTGTTGAATGCATTACAGGCCATATATACTGTGTATGCTCACATAAGTAATAAATATTGTGGTCAATTTAATCTTGAACTGAAACTGAGTCAGTGCTTTCTCTGCTTACGGTTGGTAAAAAAATATAGATATCCTTGTGATGCCAATAACTGATTAAGAACATTTTGTTATTCACCACAGAGAACAAATGTGTCTTCAATGCATAGACGACTTTCATGGTTAACAGTAACTTATAAACTTAAATTAAGACTTCTCTTATTTATATGGAATGTTTTCTTTAAAAAACTGCCCTCATTTTTTGTTGAACACTTAGTCCTTGTTGAACAAAATCATAATTACTCAACTAGGCGGGCACGAGGTGGAGACTTTAAACTCCCTCGACCCAGGACAAACTCTCTAAAATCCACAGTCTATTATAGAGCCATATTTCACTGCCAATAACTACATGAAGAGTTCAGAACAGAACAAGCTTCAAAAATATTGTGTCTTCAGAACTACTGCAAATGATAACATGACCTGTGTGTATATGTTGTATAGTCTACTCTTGTTTATGTTTTTATTATTTCCTACTGTGATTTTTATTTTTATTTTTTATGATCTGTTTATAATGTAATATAATTTCTTCATGTGAGGACCCCAGGAAGACTAGTGGCCATTTATTTGGCAGCTAATGGGGATCCTAATAAAACTAAACTAAACAGAACAACTATGTGTGCAACACCTTGAAATGAATCCGAGTCTGGCCCGGTCTGTTTGCCACTTTAAGGCGTAGTGCTTTTTTTCTCCAAGAACAGCAATATAAGGCAAATAGCTGCTTGGACTATGTTTACTGAGAGTTCAACAGATATTTATAAATAGATAATTTTTTCTCTCTTTTTCTTGTTCACTGTTTGCGTGTTTCTTCCTGTTTAATTTGGACATGTTGTCTGTTGGCAATCATATTGGTTTTCATTTAATGTGGCTTAATTTATGAAGCGCTCTGTATAATTCTTCTTTATGCCCAAGAACAGCGACCATGACTGCATGCCTGACTCGGATTTCAGGAGGTTCAGGTGATAAGAGTAGATTTAAAGAGCAGTGGAATTGATCCAGTTTGTAATGACAGCTTCCTGAGAGATGGTTCACTTGCTCCATCAGTCAGAAGTCATTATTAATTGGACTTGACACATAATATTTTGTGTAATATGAACTTCATGCTTTTAAATTTGTAATTTCTTCGAGTTTGGGTATAATCTACATGTTGTATATACAGTAGTGAGGTAATTGTATATTCCTCATAAGTAGACTGAGAAGCTAATATGTTATTTCCTGGTGAACTTCCCATGAATATATAACACAAGGATGCTTTAATGAATGGGGTCCCTCATTAACAGAGGGGTGTCAGACTGTCTGCAGATGAGATTAGACAAATGTTTTAAAACTTTGTCTGTCGAACCATACAAAGTCTCAAACCGGCTGTTGCTGTGATATTGTCCAATAAAAGCATCTCTACTTGAATAAATATTTTCTTGTCCCAGCTGCACTGCTTTTGCTGCTTGTTTATTGCTGTGGGGTACATTAAGTCAGTTTTAATTAAACATATTCAGCTACAGATGGAGTATACTGTATCTTTGCACGCCCTCATATACACAGGAGCTTATTTAAATCTGTAGACTTGAGCTACAACTGGCAAAAATAGTCACATTTAACAAAACGTTCTTCTGGCTTGGTGTGCAAAATGAGAAGTTTTGTAAGAAGAAACTTATAAAACAGAACATGTTTGGACAGATTCATGATTCAAATCAAGATGCTGCTTCTCTGGAAGTGCTGATGGTTTGTGGTGAAGCTGAAATTTGTCATACTATAAAAAATACCTCTTTATGAAACAAACCATGTCACCATGTCTCATGAATGTTAGCCTTAGTCTTATATAAAAAGGAGAGGACCATGAGGAGATCTTGACGGAAATCGAAACAAAAGGGACAAAACTATTAGTGACAGCAGGCTGTAAAACATGTGGAACCACTGCTGTTTCTAGAGAATTTTCTTTTCTTATTAAACTGATGAGCTTAATTTAGACTGTGCCTTTCTAGGTGTTGCCCAACAGCTAGATCCCTATTTACACTTCCAGAAAGAGACTTCAGAAGAAATGAAGAATTGCAGATAGTGTTTTCTGTGATAATTTTCAAGTGTAGTTGACCCCTAAAGGGCTTGGACATCACAGGCCCTATTAATTCTTTCATACACACACCTTTTCTCTCAGTCTTACCCAGAAACGCTGAGACGAGCACCAAAGGGTACAGAATAGAATCACAGAGAACCAAATTTGTCTTCCCACTTTATTTTCTGGACGACATTTGGTGACATTTGACAACCTATGGCACACTGACAGCTAGTGAGAAGGAGAAATCTGATTACTTTGGCTGACTTTGGTAATCAGTCAACTTGCCCCGCTCAACTGCCACAGTGAGGTGGAAGAATTCTTGAGTTTTAGGGCCCCTTTGCCCTTCTGCCAGCCAGAAAAACACTCTGCAGTCTCAATTGTGTGTGCCTCTATTATGTTTCTGAATCCATGAGTGTGAAAATAGCTCTGTCTGTACGGCCATAAACTCTGGTTTCTCAGACAATAGGCTTGTTCCCACATAATATGAGAGGGTTTGGAATGGAAACCAAGCTGGCCGTAAAAGTTTGGTTTTATAGATAAAGTGAGATACTTACTGCCAAGGATAACAGTAAGTTGAAAAAATCTCTCCAATATTAGTAAAGTAAAACACATCTATACAGCATGAAATTTTGTTTACTAGTTTTTTGAGCATTGGTTTACCTCATAAACTTGTCACTTGTTACTTAAGTCTACGTTTGTGCTTTGGAGTGTGTCTGTGTGGTTGCTGGGCTGAGTAGTGTGTCATTTCCTGAAGGAAAATGATAGAAACTGATGTTGCTGCTTCCTTCAAGATTGTGCTGATGCGTCAGCTGAAAAAGTCCTGTCTTGGTCTTCTTCATTTCTGGTCCAACACAGACGGGAAACACACAAAAGAGTTATAGAGGAGAAAACAGGAGGAGGAGAATAGACAAAACAAGAACAAAGTAAGGGAGAAAGCAGTTAGTTAGGCCTCAGAGCAGGATCTGTGTTGTACGAGCGCTCAGCAATTATTTGAGTCTGAGCAGCGACACTAACAAGAACTCATGTGAAAGCATGGCTTACAGGGTTAGGCCCCCAGACCTAAAGACACAGTTTATTTTATAGGCTGCTGAGTTGGGCACTTTGTGCATGTCTTTTCATTTATTTGTGGAGTTCCACACAATCTAATCTAGCAATCATACAATCATAAATCGATGTGTCTGTTACAATCGCATTGTTAAGATGGTAGAGAAATATTTAAAAAATGTGTTAGATTTATTAAGAAATGTAGTGTTATGCTGGTTTGTGTACCATAAAGTTTTGGTCAATCCCTTTTACAGTCTTTAGCATATAAACATAATTTGTCGTTTAGCATTTATCGTTGAGTATTCGAGCATGGACATTCAGTGCTGATGGCAAACCAGATTGTTCCTCTCCTCTTTAGAGATACAGCGTTCACGACTTTTTAAATAATCCTGTTGCACGTCTCCTTCTTCGAATGGCAGAACTAAACTTACATTTGTGAATGATAGATATACACACACATTCAAGCTGTTGTATCTCATTTGAAATTGTTTAAATAGTTTGAAAGTTTAGAGAAGATGAAGTTCCAAATGCACCCCAATCCAATGCTATCAATTATGGAACTATGATAAAACTGCAACACCCTTTGTTTGAAATGCTTTCATTCACTTTGATTGAATACTTTTTTTTTTTATTCAACAGTTCATTCCAGATGTATCTAGGATAACTCCTGAGTCATCATCGTTGGTGTTATTCTGAAGAAAACACTTTCTCCTTGAGCTCCAAAGCACAACAGATGTTTGCACTTGAGATGTTTCAACATGAGTGTAGCAGAAAAGCTGTAGGTTTCATAGTGGAATACAAATATGTGGTGTAAGAGATATTGTTTTTCTTTGTTGTCCCATTCAATGTTATTTATCATCTTTGTGTAAGAACTGAACATCCCCACACAAACATCTGCATGGTCAGCTAGAGTTTGTTTAATACTTTTTATACTAGATGCTTTGAGGGCCTAACAGAGGGGTGATGCCTTTTAAGTACAACATCTGTACATGCTCAATATTTCCCTATGTGTCATGAAGCCAAGCAAATATGATCAACAAAAAGGCTAACTATACAGAATGAGTTCTTGATAATGCGTTAAATTAAGTCCCTCTTAATGCAAGATTTTTAGAGGTATAATAAAGGCATATAATAATAATTCTAACTAAAAACTCAGAAGGATCCGTGGTGATCTAGGATAGATTAATCATGACCTTTTCTTCTCTGGCATACTAAAAAAAAAAAGAAGGTTGATTCAAGTTGGAAATCCACAGAGATGCAAAAAAACAACAACAACAACAACAACAGAAAAAAAACATAACCAAACTGGTTTTGGAATTAACTGAATGTGGCACGAAAACAAGTGTAACTGAACAGGACGGATCTGACAGCACAAGCCCTCAACGATGGTCTCATATCGTTTTCCTATCATCATTTTTTAAAGTCAATTTAGACAAATTGTCGCTTCCTCGTCCGCAGATTAAAGTTCAGCCGCTTATCTGTGTGCATTTCCTCAGACCTAGTGAGCAGTTGCGCACAGTCCGATCTGATTTCTGATATTTGAGGCAGCAGTTTTGTGCACAAGTTTCCAGAGTGGGTGTTCAGCGTTTTCTGCGCAACAAGACTTCAGGAAACCATGACGCATTCAGAGGGCTGAGCTCTTTTCAGGGGAATTTGGCAGTCTGAGCCAGTTTACGCGTACTCCTCACCAACCCAAGAAGACTCACCACGGAACGGACTTCATTTCCACCTTGTTTGGCTGAAACGGGACAACTTTAAGGATGAAACTTATCCTGCTCCTTCTTATCTCCTGCCTCGCCTTGCAGAACGGAAAAGGTACCATCTAAAAGCCGCTGTGTAGCTTCTGATGCACACAAAAACACAGCGCAGGCTTACCCAGTGCTGTGTTTAGGGAACTTGCTCTGAAAACAATAAGAAGACTCATTTTGACACCCTGACAGTTATACACTTTAGTTTCTGTGAGTTCTGTGAGCATCATACAGGGCGGTTTTCCATTTTAAAAAAGAAATGTAACTTATCTGAAAAGTGATTCTGTGTCAGAATGTAGGATTCCAGTCATTTATTATGACTCATTTACTCAAAGTGACCAGCGACCCCCTTCTGTTCTATTCTTTATGTATGTAAATAAGCTATAATTCACTTGCGAATCTCTCAAATCTGGGTGTTATCTGTTAGACAGCTTCATCATTTATTTTTGCTGCTTTATTGTCCGTACATCACCATCAGGTACCATGATGCTGAGATAAACTGCGTTGTAGATTCCGGCCTAAAAGAGCCTTTATGAGCCACATGAAAGGGGATATTTTCTAATGACGCCATGGAGAAAGGAAAATGAAAGGGGAATGTCAACCAGATATGAATATATAAGCCATTGTAATGTTCTCTGAATAATATTCTAGGTTATTACGGGCCCTTAATGCCTAATTTTACTTGTTTTAAACATTCGCTTTAATTAATTTTTCCATGTTTTGTACATTTTCATGTGATAAGAATAACAACGTATCTTCATTTGTGGCCTAAGGGAGAAACAAGCCCATTTCAATGGCTGTAAATGTTCACGATGTAATATTTGACGTTCATCTATTTTATTTGCCAGTTTTACTGGGAATTATATTAAATATCTTAGTGACTTGTCACTTTATCCAGCAGAATCAATTGCCCCATGGTTTCTTATAATATGTCCAACCAAAACCTACACAGGCCTGTTTTACTGTGATATAAGTTCAGGTCAAACACACTTAGTGACTTTTCTCTAGCTTTTCATCAGTTATTTCTCTGACACACAAATTAAATCAGTTCAATTAGCGTTGAAATGTCTGAAGAAACTTTCTAGATTATGCCAGAAATGCAGAGTTAATTAAATAATCATTTTGAATTGTTTCGATAAACCTGAGTTTTGTGTGTTGAAACAAATCTTACCTATTAGCAATTAAATAGTTAAAACCGTACATGTTTTGACATCACATTGGCTTCATTGTCAGTGTGTACCAACATATACGGGAAAAGGTTACAGCAAATGGCAACATTTCCTGTTCTAAAACAGCTTTCAGGCCCATCAGACCAGCCGTTACTTTACTCTGCTTACAAAACATTGGCGTAATCTCTTGACACACTCTGTACATATGAGGATAAAAGGAAATAACATATTATCATGGAACCATTCCAGGTGATTTATTCCAAAAAATATTCTGACTGAGGTCAATTAAAAACATAGAATTGTTTTTCTCTGTAGGAGCACCGAGGACAGCTGTGTATAAGTTTGTGAGATGCAATCCTGAGGGTGACCAGGCCAACTGTGTGACTCAACAAGGCCCTGAGATGCCGTGGAGCTCGGACCTACCTTCCAAGCTGCCTGCTTCCACAGCACAGTATCTGTAAGTATTCAGGTGTTATGTTCCCACATCTCACTGTGAGACTTTATTTGCAGTTTTATTTTATTTCAAAGTTCTAAAGGAAGAATGTCATTGCTTGTTGGTATCACAATAGTTCAGAAAACCATCTTACAGTCAACATACAAAGATGCTGGCAGACAAACGCAGTTTGGTGGAGAACTGCTGACACTGCTTTTGATTTTTTATGTTGATTAACCCTCCAGTGACACTGTTTCTCGCTCTGTGACTGCTTATGTGAGCTCATGTGTTGTGTGTTTGAGAGAGGAGTTAAGTGTGAGGTACGAGGCCAAGAAAGGCAAAAAATAGAGTACAACGTGGAGGCATAGAGGAGGACAGAGAGGACAACAAAGAGGGCAGAGCTGGATGAAGACAGACCTCATGGTTTATCTCCAGTTGTCACAAAGCACAAAATCAGAGGACTAGCTACGTAAAGCCATTTAGTTGTGGCCAGTTGCCATTAATTTTTGGAGTAGTCTGCACCGGAGAATTGTTTATTCCAGGTCAGTTTAACTTGATGGTTGCAAAGCGATTTCAAACACAAGCATGCACCTTCTTTTGAGTGTATTTTGTTGTCGGTGTAATAATTTTTACAAATCTGTTGTACATGAATTGTTAAAAGGCGCAAAAGTAAAAGAACTCAAATTAATGAATGATATATCAATTACATTTTTGACATGCATATGTGTGTGGAGAGACTTCTTTGCTGAGAAAGGCTTTGCGCAGGCACACTTGGGTTCTGCATTCTGCTGACACAAGAACAGAGGAAGTGTTGCTGTAGTGAGCTTTCGGTTAAACGTTCTACCAAGACAGATGTGTGACAATTTGGGTAAATAATTCTCACATAGGTTTTTACTATTTTGTATTTAGTCATATTTCTTTCCATTGACCAGTGCGTGGATGGCTTCTAAACTACTGTTATCATCGCTGTACTTTTTTGTTCTCTGAGATTACAGGATTAAACTGTATCGTATGGCATGATTAAATCAGAAGCACTACTTGAAGAGACCCAAAAAATGAGTGTTATTTATATTTTGTGATCCACTTGTTAGCTGTATATTTATTCAAAGATGTCAGCAATGAATTTATGCCTGGGCAAGCATCCTTTTGAATCTGAAAACTGTATCATAACAATTCTCTAGTTTTTTTAATGAATAATTACATGCGTTTAGTTTCCAGTGTGATGACACTGCTATCAAACTTCTCATATTTGAACTTTATTAAGCAGCAAGTAGGATTATTCCATACCTGGTCCGATATGCAGAGACGGCTAGTACTATTTTCCTTTGGCAGAAAGGGATCTTTATGACGTGTATTAATTACTTTAATGTGAGTCACTTTTTTTCTTTTTAGCAAGTTCTAAATGAAAGGTTTCTATCAAACACTTATATTCCAACTTTTTGGGAGGAAATCAGAGCAGAGAAGTTTTTTCATAGATTACAGAATATAATCCGCCAGATTGTTCCATTTAGCTGCACTTTATCAAACTTTAAAATGCAGACTACTTGTAGTAAGTTATTACTGGCCTCCATCTGTGTTTTAATGAGTGTGTGTTCGGGTCATAAATCACAAGTCAATTAGGGTTTGAAATTTTGTAGCCTGAAAAGAGTCACAATCTTGGTTTTAACCACAAGCTTCCTCTTTTAAAGTTCCTGTTCATTAAAAAATCCTTTTAAATATTCACCCTAGGGTTCAAAAAGGCAAACACTGTAGAAGAAAATAAAGAAAATAAATAAATTCATCCACTGAATGAGTTGATTTCATTTTAGTTGCTGTAACCCAGACCAGATAAATGTGCCCTTAACAAACGTTTCTCATGAAATTATATTTATATTACAGTGGTAAAGATTCAATCCATAACTCTGTGGACTAGCAATTACCAAAGGAAAGCACCAATTCAACATTTAAAACAAGATGGTTGCACACAAAGTTGCCACTAAAAATGAAGCTAATTTTCAAGGTGTGTCTGCTGTTAGTGAAACAGTTATCTGGCCTCCATCATTAGGTAGTCTGTCAGGGCTCCAGCAGCAGCCCTCCCCTTTTGCAGTTCGCTTTGAACAGGAAGTGAAAGGGAAGTATTGAGAGGAAGTGGGCTGTGACGCCTGGTGGGCTGCTACTTCTGGTCCATTGTTTTTATATGTTAGGTTGCATCATGATAGTCAGTTACTAATGTTGGAGAATAACCTAAGAAGCTGAAAAGAGTTCTGTATTATTCTGCTCTAATAAAAGAACAGTGGAATAACACCGTAGATGGGACAGTTTCTACTGACTGTTAAAAAGTTCAAAATCTAAAAATATACTTTTGATAAAAGCATATTTGACTTTACTACATTTTGTGACCATTGTTGTGTCTAGACAAGGCAAGAAGGTGCATTAAAATGGGCTTACTGTTATTAATTTGCAGATAAAATGTATAAAATGGCACAAATTTATTTAAAGAAATGACGACAAGCAGCTGCCTTATGGTGTGGTTTATTCATGTTACCTCGCAGATAGAAAACCCAGATGACGCAGTTTCGTGTAGAGTTTGCATATGCTGCCTGTGCATGTGTGTGTGTACTCTGTATTCTGTGTGTATCCCAGGTATGCAGAAACAAGTACAATGGACTAATTGCAATTCCAGCATCGAATGCATGGTTGTGTGACTCGTGTATCTCTGAATATGCAGTGAGTTTTCATTAATTGCAGCTTATCCTGAATGCACCTCAATGAATTGCACCTCAATTAACTTAAACTAAAAAAATCAAAACAGAGGGGTCAGATAGTTGCCAATCAAGCGCAAACTGTCCATTAACGGGGAGTTTAGTCGATGCAAACATGGAAAAGTTCTGCTGAGTGTTGTGGCTGCAGGCAGGGGAGGTCAGGAAATAGCATGGTGAGTGTGGTTGAGCCAGCATGGTTAGTGAGCTGTCAACAGCGTAGTAAATTCAACAACAGAAACAGTAAGCATACCCCTTTTTTTCTCTCCAACTGTATTTGTACTATTTTTGTCTAAAGAAGAAAAAAAAGGGAAGTTGTGTTACTGAAGTATGAAATTTATCTGAGAATGACGAACAAAAAGGCCATCTACAGTCCTATATTTTCCTCATCCCAGAGATGCATTCTCTCATTGTGAAAAGCATTCATTTAGAAAATTATGCCACAGAACAGCTCATTCTTGCAACCCAAAAGCCCAAGTCCGTTACTGTATCTGACTTTCATTCTGTTTTCAGAGAGGCAGAACCTGAGGAGGATGAAAGTCCACTGGGGGAGGACGAAGTCGAGGAAGAGGAGGAATCACCCATGATGAATGAGGAGGGAGACCCGCTTGGCATTTTCCAAAGTGAGGAAGCTTCTGGCTATGAAGGCTCCGCAGTAGAGGGTCCATATTATGCAGGCTGGGCCACTCCGGCTGAAAGCGACACAGGCTCTGGTGAGGCCTGGGCAGACATCGTCCAGCTCAAAGGTACATCGGGGGTTAACCATTGCCACCAGTGCAGCAGTCTCCTTTTTTCTTCTGTTCCACATGGTTTGAATTTTTGTTTTCCTTTTCTGTTCATAGGGCAAAATGTGAGGAGCATGAGGAAATTGTTCCCAAGCAGTCATACCACTGGTGAGGTGAAACCCACAGAGAAGGACCTTGAAGAAGACCACCTTCTGAAGCTGTAGATGCTTCCACACTGCGAGCATCTATTTTAACGACCCATCGAGTCAGATAATAACATTTATATTGCAGCAAAAAATGGTCACATAAAGACCAACAATACATTTTGGACACTTGGTGAGATTGTTAACTCTGTTAAAACAGATTCCAAATTAAATAACTGGTCAGTATAAATGATTTTCAACTATGCTGACTAATATAAGTATTTGTGCTTTCCTGAGAAAAGAAAACATGCTTTGTAATACTGCATAAAAAAATAATTTCAACATTGAAAACACACAAATGCTAGTGCAATAATATTATACCTTTGTCTATGTATTGCTCCTTTTACCCAGCTCTCACTGTTTTTTGGGGGGGATTTATAGGCTAAACAGAGACATTTTTATATTATTTGATCCGCCTCCCTCCGATATTGTGATGCTTTACACTTAACCAGGATGATATTGCACCATAGTCTGGTCACGATACTGGATCAGAGAATTCTGTGTGCAGAGACCCCTCACAAATCAGTTCAGATTCTCTTTACAAGTACAAGCTTAAATATGTACTATGAATATACAAGCATTTCAACCATAGACTGTTTATGATTTCAAAGTACTTCACATTGTCTGGTGTGCATCTGAAATGCTGCAGTCAATAAAGGATTATAACAACTTTAAAGTATTATCCTTGTTATTTCTTAAAATTAATTAAGACTGGAAGTTGCGGGGTTTGTTCATTGATCCATGTCTACCTCATAATTAAAGACACATAACCAGAACAAAGTGGTAATACACCAATAGCTGCACTTTTATACTCTATCGAATGCAATCAATAATAGTTCAAACCTACATAGGAACATAAGAACTAACAAAACCTCTAACAAGAGTCCTACTCCTTAGACAAATATTCTGATTCTTCATTCTAAAAAACAGTCCCTCGATTTCCTTATTGGACATTCTCCATGTAGTTCATATCACAGCATCTCAACTTTTCTTGTTGCACAATGTGTTGTCGATTAGTAATTTTGCTTTGGATCACTTTACCTCCTCTGAACTTCAGAGCACATGCTGCAGCGCTGGCAGGCTCACATAAAAAATTCTTGGCATCATTTTGAATAGTTGTGTCACTTAGTTTAGTTAGTTTTGTCACTTTTCAGGAATTTCAGTGAAAGCCTTTGTGCTGTTTTCCAATCTTTGTATCTCTTTGTTGAATATCCCTTTAAGGTTTGATGGACGCTTGGTTAATTCTAACAAGTTTCATTACAAAAGAGCGAATTTTTCCTGGTAATGTGCATTCCTTTATCTACAGAAAGAGGGCCTTTATTACCCCCAAATCTTTTATCCATTCATGGAACATCTGATTTAATGCAGCTTTTAATAATATTGTGCGCACGAAAGTTCACCTACCTTTTCCTGGACTTTGAGTATATTCAGTAAAGACAATGATTTTGCGATGTTTAGTGAGTCCATTTTTGGTCACATGCATCTGTGATTCACCTTTAGATAAAGATTTAATTGACAGTGCACTACTAAACTTGATAAGACTACGTTTACAGCTATATTTTGTTTCCACTATTGGCACTTCCAACGTGTGTCATTTATGGGTCATTTATGTTGACTGAAGGGGGGGGAAATGAATTACCTTAAATAGTACATGTGTGAGAAAACGTATTTAAGACATTGTTGTTATGTGTTTCCCAGCAGGGGGCGCTGATAAACTGCATTAGGCCTTGATAAGAAGGTTAACACCTTGAAAAATAGTTGTGAGAGCTATAACGAGATTTAAAAGAATGCATTTTGAAAAAAGTTATTACCTTGAAAAAAACAAGGTTATGTTCAAAATCAGTATCAGGGTCTCCTCTTCTAATTAAAGTGGTTTCATTTCTGACATACTGCAAAAAAGATTCAAACTTGTCACTTAGTTCTGTCTTCGACCCATCTGTACGGTGGCCCTGAAGTGTTGCCAACTCCTCAGTAAGGAAAGTAGCTATTGGCTCTGCTAAAAGTCGCTAGAAGTCGCCAAATGACGTCATCGCCCAATTTGCATAATCTGCCACGTGACGTGATGTGCTGCAGGGGCGGAGCGGCACCGCGTGATCATTTCGGCCGTCAATCCCGGCGCATGCGCGCTTCATTTGCAGTCCGGACGCTGAGGGTAAACATGCTGTGGGTCCTCCCCACCCCCCTAATAAACCGGAGGGACTGGTTTTAACGCTGGACGGTCGCTCTTTAAGGAATAAAAAATACCAACGGGCTGCAAAGTAAGAAGACCTTACGAGACGAGGACGAAGAAGTGTCTGGAAGCAGCTGTGGACGCGGAGCGGTTCTCTCTAAATGAGACGGAATGGACGGCGGCGGGGATAACGTGGCTCATGAATCTGCGGGTAGCTACACAATTCTCCTGTTTGTCTTTAGCTGAGGACGCATGCTTAAAACGTAAAGCTAGCAGCTGCCTTACCTTCTAACGCAGTATTACACTATAATAAAGTTTACTTTGGCCGTCTCTAGAAAAACGTGAAAGTGGGGCTCCACCATCTTTTGATTTCTGGGGTTTTACTTGCGCGGGAACGATGAAAACGAATCCCGTCCTCAAACTAAACGAGTTCGATATAAACCAAGAAAGCAAAAACGCCTCTCGTTCAGTTAATTATTTAGCAAAATTCAGGAGTCTGGAGCAGGAGTGTGTTTACACAATGTCAAGGAGGAAAGACATCAGCCATAACCTAAGAGTCATCTGGATTCCACCACCCCTTAGAGAGAGAGTTTATTCACAGGTGAAGACATTCAGGATGGCTGCCAGTTTGTCCAACAAGGTCACCCCTAGCTCATCCATCCCAGATGATCCGAGCAGGTTCTGCAGCACCAGGACCTTAAAGTCCACCAGGAACCCCCCAGGAACCCAAAGTGTTCAGAGTCAGACGGGAGGCCGTCTGTCCCACAGCTGAAGCTGGAGCCAGCCCCCCAACAGGACTGAGATCCAAACCCGGCAGCAGAGCCGTGCAGGAACCTCCATGAACTGAATAGCTACAGGCAGCAGAGAGGGACAAAAGTCCTCCACAGCCATCGCAGAGACTGAGAGACCACCAGAAACCAGTTTCTAAACTGGCTGCTTTGGGTCTGCTCTCAGTTTTTGTTCCATAAATAAACCAGACAGTGTCTTCTGTCACATGATCCTGTTGTCTCTTTAGGTTCCCTCAAATTTAGAACCTGACAGGATCCAAATGAGGAGGGAAAAGGAAATGTGTCCATTTCAGGAGCATAGTTTGATGACATCGTTGTGGTTGAACTGATGGTTTTTATGTACAGCTGTCGATGGCTCAGCTGGTCCACAGATTTCTTCCTCACTAAACTTTGTCTTCTAGGAAAGGACAGGTCCAGACGATGGATTACTCGGGGGACCTCGTGAAAGTGACCTCATCAAACGGGTCGCAGTGGACGGCCCAGAAGGTAGAGGCTCTGAAACCGGCCCACTGGGTTACAGGACCAAAGGCTCTGGGTTCAGGTTGATCTCTAAAGCAGCAGATGACAAAAGATTTCACCTCTGATCCGGTTCAGTTAAGCCGTCAGGATCCAGGTATTCCAAATGGGTCCAGCTCGTTCATAACCAAGGACACCAGCAGAACCAGGAAGAGATCTCCATCAGGACCAGAACCAGGAACAAACCTCCATCAGAACCAGAAGAAACCTCCATCAGAACTAGGGAAAAAGTTAATCAGAACCAAAACCAGGACAGGAGTATATGGGGGACAGAAATACGTTTGATTCAGGGCAGGTTCTGTTCATGGATCCAGTCCTCATCGGGCTGCTTTCTCTTCCAGGTTCTGGTCACCGTCCCGCTGACCCTGCTCCAGAGGGGCCTCCTCCACTTCCACCCCCCCCTTCCTGAGAGGAAGCTGAAGGCCATCCACAGCTTGGGAGCCGGCATCATCGAAAAGGTACCTCCCATCCCCGCCGGCCCGCCTCCAGAGGCTGTCGGTGCCCAGCAGCTAAACCTCAGTCCGAACGTCCCGCAGATCGCTCTGCAGTTCCCGACCCGGTTCTGGGACTCCAAGATCCAGGGAGCCGACTACTTTGGTCACATCCCGCCGGCACCGGAAAAGCGAGGCCTGTTCAGCGTCTTCTACGACCTGGACCCTCAGGTGTGTTTTTAAAGCCATGACCAAGGAGGAGCCGACTGGTTCTGGATCAGAGGGAACCCAAACTACCTCAACCAGTTGGTGACAAAAGAAATGAGAAAATAAAATGAACTCTGCGGGCTGAATATTGTCACTTAAACTCAGTGAGGACAGGAAACGGATCACCAGCTCACCGAGTCCGCTGACTGTTTCAGGATTCAGGCTTCAAGAAGCATCAGGATGTGAGGAGAAAAGTCTCACAAGAAGAAGAAGTCCAGCTGGCTGTGTTTAGGCTCTGAGCATCAGTAACCCAGCTAATGCTCAATATGTGACTGTGTTTGATTCCACTGGTTTTAAACCAGGTTTAACCTTTCATTATTTGTCATTTCTTTTCCCACCAGGCCACCAACCGACACTTCCCTCAGACCGTGACGGGGGCCTACCTCAGCGGGGTCCGAGAGGCCAGCAAAATGGCTGCTGTGTAAGCCGGCGGCCTCGCAGCCCTTGGACGCCGGCACCGCCAGACGGATGGCCGACACGGCCGGCGTGGAGCTGAGCGCCTTGGAGCTGAGTGGCGGCATACCTCTGCATCAGGGTCCAGCAGGGCTCTCTGCACCTGCTTTCACACACTTAGCACAACAGCAGGGGAGCTGCTCTATATTTATATCAAATCCCATCAGGGAAAGTGCTTTTTTAAAATCGAAAACCACCTCAAAGTGCAGCTCTGTCGGATTTCTGGGAAGCAGGACGCTGTTTTTACTCCACTTCAGATCACAGTCAGCACAGAATTAATTTGCTTTGATTTGCTTAAAACTTTAGGAAAACTAGGTCTTTAATCAGGAATACCTAAATAACTTTAATATCCTGGGATTATGGTCGTGTGATCGGGTCTAAAATATCGTTAAACACGGTGTAGTGAGGTAGATTTATTCTTTCTGTGGTTTAGACGGTTAGACTTAGATATGGAGAACTTGTTTCATGTCGGTGGATTTTTCGAAACGTTTAAAGGAGGAATTCGATCAGGACACATCAGCCGTCCCATTTCTTTCTCAGGGATGTTATCATGAAATCAAATAAGCCCATACGGTGAGAAAAGAGTGGAAAAATAATGAGAATGGACAGTGTTGGATTTAAACAGCTGTTGATGCCGGCGTGTGACTCCTTTCTGTCTCTTCCTGTGTGTCTGAGGCCTGAATATTTATCCTGTATGTGTCTAATAAACTGAGCTCAAAACTGCCGAAAGAAGCGGTTTCACTTGCATTGAGTGTTTCTGCCCTCCTCCGCCAAAAAGTCAGATCAATTCTGATTTCTGTTCTACATTTGGTTCTTTCAGTGTGTCTGTGACTGACATGGATATACAGATGGTTTAGCATAAAATAGTCCTTAAATGATCCCTGGTGGTAATATCACAATTTTTTAGTTGGTTTCGTTACTTGTTCCCTATATCTTAACTAATTTCGTTGGAAAA